GTACCTGCTTATAAACAGCTAGTTCAAGAATTTTTTCTCTTGGTGGTAATGTATTTATAGGTCTATATTCACTGGCCTTGATTGTATTGTTTGCCTTTTGAATGGGAACTATAGTACTAACTTTTTAAAGATTTGGTATTTTAGAAGTTTGAAGAGAAGTATTTACAAGGTTTAAAATTATAAGTCCACATGTTACAAAAATGACTGAGCATTTTGGAATTTAAGATTCAATACATGAATATCAAGGCTAAAGGTTCCCAAGGGAGTCTGTTGTAAAGCAAAGCTTCGACATCGATTGCTCAAGAGATTCGTCCTGTCATGAAACCAGAGCGAAAAAAAAATTAGTTGTGTTTCAATGTGACGGCGCTTTTTGGACCTGCCATAGGTTGCTTTGCAATGAAAGACTGAAGATAAATTTCGTTTAGTTGTCGATGTCAAAGCTTGGCTTTGCAACGGATCACCTTGAAGAGACTTGTTGATAGATAATGTCTCCGTTATAGAAGATGTCATTCAATTTACTTACTCTAGCATCACTGATGAGATCTAGGGTGGGTCGAAACAATTTGGATCTGGTTTCAACTTTATGATCAGTATGAGTTTATATTCATGACCCATCTTTTAGCAAGTACGCAGATGAAAAAACATCAGTTAATTCATACCGGTGAAAAACCTTATCCCTGCTGGCAGTGTGGAAGGTCTTTTCGTAGAAAGGAAACTAGGGATACCCACGTAAGATACCATACTGGAGAAAGACCTTACTCTTGTGATATATGCTCCAAGAAATATGTGGCTGCCAGCCATTTGAGAGTAAGTGTGATTTTTTTTCCAAAAATGTATTATTTAGTATGTAAATATTTCAGGATCACATGAAATCTCACAACAATAATAGAAAATTCGAATGTATGATATGTCCAAAGAAATTTCTCGACTCTAAAACACTGAAAAGTCATATGTTGACCCATACAGGACAAAAACCCTATTCATGTCAGTTTTGCGGAAAGTATTTTTCTCAGAATGGTGGTCTTGTAACCCATATTAAGAACTGTCATAATAACCAATAAAGTATTAAAGTAAGACAATTGTGTTTCAATAATTTATTTCAGAAAAGTTTATATGTCTGAAGTTGTATTCACACAATCACTTTATATTCAAATTCCTAACTTCAATCTCGACATCACCCAACAAAAATAATAGTGCAAAGGCGTAACTTAGTCACAATTTTTTTGAAAAAATTCAATAAACCCTACTGAAAGATTTTCATCTATAAGGGGTTTACAAAACTGCAACATGTTTTTCACTAAAGTGTTACTCCTAATTTACGACCATTTTATACTCTTAAAAATTTATGCTTACTTACACATTCAATCAGATGAAATATTCTAGACTAGATTCGACTACATGTTTATAAATTAATGATTATTGCATAATAAAGGTAAATAAATTTAGCACATGCGAGTTATTTGATCCAATTATATTGTTCATTAGATATTGGAAAATTTTGAATGTAATTTCATACTTTCCAGATTGAGCTTCAAACCTTTCACTAGAAATGACATTTTTTGAATTCGTGATTGAACTCATGTCCTTCTGTAGGGAGGTTTGTAGCATAGGTTGAATTAATTTTTCCACTCTGGAAACTTTTTGGAAAAAAATTTTTGGCTTTCTACTTCCCAAGAAAGAAAGAACGTTTCCCACATTTTTTACGCAAAGCCGGTGAACTAGAAAGCCTATAACTTCTTTACCAAAAACTAATATCTCCTTAAAAATAGACCCCTTTCAAGTTGTTGCCGTATTCTTTTTTTGTGTTTGAAATTTTTTTTAGTTTGACCTATGTAAAATATCGGACATAATCCACACGACAATTTATAAACTGATCTATCTGATACTAAACTTTATAAGAACACAGTCGGAGATATGTATAAGACAACAAAAACCAGGCTGGGGAGGCGTGATTGAATAGAGCCTAAAAGACCAAACGTTTGAAGACTTAAGAGGTTATATTTTGCAGTGTCACATATAAATAAAACTCATAAACGGTATTAACATTTATATGTATCAGACAGGGAACTAACAAATTAGAACCTGAATTTTTGTGTTGTGCAAGGTTCATCATTCAATGGAGAACAACTGTGTCTTAGTTACCAACTCCTAAGGTAACATATCTGAAATTATGATTCTCATTATCCTATGTTCTATTCATTTCGCCCTTTTTGTTAACTTCAAGTTTCAAAGTTTCCTTTTTTTTTCTCACAAATTAACTGACCATGTCAAAATAAATCCTATTTCTTCCACAATGACAATATAAAATATTAAAGGAATTGTGGTAAATAATTTATTCATATTTCCACAAGATTGGGTTAACGTAAACGTTTCAGGAATTGAAACTTGTAAAAAAATTAACCTAGCACTACAATACACTTTTATTTGAAAAAAAAAACAAGTTGTCATCTTACATTTATGAAGCATTAAATTCAGATCTGGTGAAACTGATTTAGGAGGAAATAATTTTGTACACTTTGTTCATATTTTCAGGTATGGATGAATCTTCAAGTGAGCATAGAAAGAGACTGAAGCATTATTTGATTCCATGTGTTGAGGCTCTTCATTACCCTTGAAAAATGAAATTTGGTCTCTGACATACAGTCAGTACAATGCATATTGATTAAATATTCTATTGGTCTCATAATTTAAAAAATATATTTGGCCTATGTTACTTCCAGAACTGAAGCTATTGTTACAGTCCTCCAATGATCTAAAATTAATGGATTCAATCCAGCAAACTTCTGTTTCAATGTCCTTACGAATTAAAAAATATATATATATAAGGGTGTCTTCTCACTGTAAAATAAAGCTATACAATTCTTTTAACAAAGGGGAATATTATACATAAGTTTCAACAACTACTGATCATGTTGGTGACACATTACTCCTCTGCATCCTTTGTTGCTGCTCCTTTCTGCATTCTTCTGCAGTATGTTGCAACTGTTCTTTCAGCTTCAACAGCTCTCTAATCCGTTGGTATACAGGATCCTGCAAAAGAAGTTGACAAAAAAAAATATATCAGATTTCCAAAAATTCACCTGTGTTCTCATGCTTGGGTTCCACCTACAATAATAGGCTTTCCATAACTTTATATGGCGGATGCTGGCAATAGGTACTAAAACTCTCTGCTGCAAGGTATTAGCCCAATATAAGGGATTCCTGTAAAGATCCAAATTACTGTTGGTATATGACCATAGAGATACTGTTTGATCCTTCAGCTCTACAACAAATCAAGTCAAATTTACCGTCTCTAACAAATAATTAGAGTCAGTTACATACTTTCTTGAACACGCTCCCTCTCACTGTTACATAAAAATGTTCCAAATCGGCAAGAATACAGATGATCTAATATTGTTATTAGGAAATAGTCATTGAATTCGAAAGCATTGGGGAACTGTTGCGTTATCTGCCACACACAATCGATAAATTGCAAGAAAATAGGAGATCTGTCTGCATCTGAATGGTGATCATCTCCGTGACCAATTCTCTGAAAAAAAATGTCTGTGATATTGTCATTTAAACAGAACATAAAAAAAACCTATGATTGCCCTTAACACAAAAACTACATGGCACTTCAACGGATTTGTAACAACCAAATACCTGTGTAAACAAACGTTATCGAAACAGTTTAATAACGCCGAGTCTTTATTCAATTGTGTAAACACCTACTTCAAGCGGTGTAATCATTTAGTGACATGTAAAAGCCCTAATGTGTGAGGCAGTGAATTTTATTTTAAAATGATACCTGATTGAATGCCATAAGAACTTGCTGCCACCTTGATTTAATGCAAACAAGATAAAGGATAGATAAAATTAGATGGGACCACGATTCGAAATATCAAAATATGATATATAGGAATTTCAGGGGCGACTAATACGTATGTCGTAATAACAGGGTACCAAGAAGAAAGTATTCCTACGATCACAAAAGATTCCTTTCTAATAGCACATATGACACATTCAAGAACGGTTAGTCAAATTTTATGTTGGTAACGATGGAGGTTAGGGACGGGTTTTATACAGGTTCAGGTAGTTAACTTATGTTTCCAGTGAGTGAAAGTTAGAACCTCAATTCTTCTAACAACGGCTGATATATGTTCGTATAATAGGGTTACTTATACACTGGAGTCAAAAAATTGGTATACAAGTGAACTGATTTATTTCTGTCTTTGTGAACTATTTTTGAATTGCTCTGTTGATTTTTCCAATACTATTTGAACTGATTTTGATACGAACAATGATCCATTTCTTATCATTTTTTTTTTGTTTTCTGTATCAGCTATTCTCTTACTCATCTTCGCAATAATTCATTTATTCGTTTATTTGGTACAAAATTTCTAGAAAGAAATTATGCTGGTACAAGGAAGTTAATTAAAATTTTCAAGTGAAAATTAATAAAAACTTTTAATAATGAGAAAAACATTCAAATAATTATAATTTGATGATTTTTTTTGATGTTTTTGAAAAATATATGTTTTATTAACTCATATTACACGTATTATTCAAATTATATTGTACTAAAATTGGATATTTTGATATATTACACTTTACTATTTACAAGCATCAAAATGACCACCCACCAATTGAGGAGTGGGAAACCTGCATTTGTTCGTCAAGATTTCTGTCATAGCAGTCCCATAATTTTGAGGTTAGAATAATACACCATAGTCCACCGAGACCTCTGATAATCAGAACAACAGAGCGGTCTTCGTAGAATTTGAAGGAAAGAATGTCTATATTTCATTCATTTTTCTCCCGTTTTCAGACAATATTGGTCTTATTTTGATGGACATGGGGTTCTATATAGAGATTATATTAGCCTATGGGTGAAAAATAAATAGTTCGAATAATTTCTCCACTATTATCAATACTATTCTTTTTAGTGAAAAGGTTGGGTCTGACCCTTTTTTGAAGCTCTGACAGTAAGAAGTGCCTGAATCAATAAACAATTCCCACATTGTTTGGTAACTGATCATTGGGCCTGAGACACAATGAGCTAAGAATGACAGCCTCCTATATTTGTCCAAACTTTTATACTTCAATGTGGCATATCTGTATAATCATGAGGTTCCAAAGTAGGAAGGGCATCATTCCACCAAAGACTCTAATAGTCAGAACAACCATTTTAACCGAATAGTCTTTGTAGAGTTTGCAGATTTCTGTTTTTTCCTATTTTCAAAAGATATTCGCTTTGATATCATCATTGATGATCAAGGAGGACTAAATAATAATAATATTTATAGCTTCAAAATTGAATTACAGCATTCTTCAAATGAAAATGAACTATATGCACCTGGAGGAGCTATTGATCTGAACGATTGATATATGTTAAAAGTGGCTTATATTCATGATTGAGTCCAGTTGAGCCATAACAGATAACATTAGTTGGTTACCAACAAAGAAAATAGGTACTTTTTGAGGTGACTTTTGAGTGATGTAGTTGATTTTGACTTGAGGACTGGGTATGTTAATGTTTAAATATATACTATATATATGTATAGACTTTTTTATTTATTTGGCCTATATTACTTCCAGAACTGAAGCTATTGTTACAGTCCTCCAATGATCTAAAATTAATGGATTCAATCCAGCAAACTTCTGTTTCAATGTTATTATTATTATAAATAAAATAATACCTGTTGAAATTTATGTCCAAATGATATCCATTCTTTCTCAATGAGTACCTCAAATCCTTTGATAGTCCGGTAGTAAGGATCGAGCATCAACATTGAGAGGGCTGTCAATTGAGCTGTTCGGTCCCAACCATCCGAACAGTGAACTAAAACTGAAGTTTTATGACTCTCCACCTGAAAAAATAATACCAAACTAAAATGTAGCATTCACTAAATTTGAAAAGGTTTTGTTATTTTACAAAATATTCATATCACATACTTTGTCAACTATTCGAACAGCTCCAGCTAAAATGCATTTAATATGTTTCAACCAATAAGTAGACTCCACACCAGAAAGCCATTTTATCTCGTCTATATTTGGGTAGCAGAGTTCCTTCAGCTTTCTTAGAGATTCCCTCATTACGTGTATGTTGTGGATATCTAAGAAAACCAACTCTGCATTTTGGTAAGCATCTTCAGACTCGTACCTTTGAAAAAATAAAATTTATGGATTGATTGCTTTGGTAATTCATTACAAGAAAAATGAATGAGTCTAATTCAAACAGTGATTGATAAATCGAAACAAGTGAATCATGTATCAGTCACAAACATATTTCAAATACACTTGTGAACTGTTTTAATTCTGAAAGATATGTTTACGTTTACTAACGATTACCTGCCTCCGATCAAATCCAATTCGGAACGGAAATCATACTTGTCAATTTTACATTTCTGATAAAACACTAGGTAGCAAGTTTGATTAAAACCAGTTTGTATAATTGAATTGAAATGAAATTATGCAATGAACTACCGAATACAGTTGAAAAATATGGCAAATTGAAATTTAAAATCATTAAAGGATAAGGCAATGCACAGTGAAATGGGCTGAAGTCAGAAACAGTATTATTCATCATGGCCTGCCAGGATGGTGTCTTCAACACCATCTCCACCGACATAACGTGGCTCTAAGAGTGCTTTATTACCACCATCGGCACTCCTACGTTATTTAGGAGATACCGACGCTCCCTTATATTCTGGGAGTCATTGTGGAAAATGAGAGGTGCCGAATTTATTGGAACTATTCTTTCCCCACCATCAGGCAGACACAAACTGATACACTCGATGTAATCCTCCTTGACCATCAAAGTAAGATGATATTTGTCCAAGTGAAGCAAATATCGTTCGAAAAGAGTAGTTTCATATTCAATAAAGTTATCTGAAAACTGAAGTTTGGCTGAAAATGACAGTAACCAATACATATCTCAATAAATATTGATTTATCCAAATGAAAATACATAAACATTCAATTAGTTATCCATTTACTTAATAAAAGGTGAAACTGGAACATCTGGCGCAGCATCCAAAAAAGTACATGTATCATCACCCTATACCGTAGTTCATCAATAGACTCAGACCCACAAGCCTTCCTTGACAAATTGAGCAGTACCTTGAATTACGTAACAGCTAAGTATACATACATCATTCTCTGTGGTGACTTCAATATAAATTTCATGGGGAATTGTCAATATAAAAAACAACTCTTTGATATATTTGAAATGTACAATCTGAAACTACCATATGATGGACCAACACGTGTTGCACAATATGGTAATAAAACATGCTCTAGCGGACTAGATTATATCGTAAGTAATATTGAAAATATCTTTTGTAAACTAACCTGCCTGGGCGCCTCTGATCATCTAGCACAACTCATGTCTTGGTCTTCGGAAAAAACACCAGACCGAAGGGAACAAAACATTGTACAAAGGAAAATTAACAAACAAACTCTTGCCCAATTCAAAAACCTTTATGAAAATACAATGACAGAAAATCCCCATGAAGTAGATGTTGACAGCATATTCAATAACTTCATGGTGAACTTCCAGTGGTGTTTTGACAAAGCATTCCCAAAACAAATAATATTACAAAAACAATTAAAACCAGGAAAAATACCCTTTTCTGCAGAACTACATTCCGAACTAAGACAGCTGAGAGATCTGAACTGGCTTAAGAAAAGAGTTAATGACCCTACTATATCAGAACATTATAAAAATGTAAAAAAATCTGTGGATATAAAAATTTGCAAAGAAAAAAAACAATATCACTCTGACTTAATTAACAAATCAAATAATAAAGCCAAATCTCTCTGGAAATTAGTTAATGAAAAAATGGGCAGGATCAATCAGAAAAAAGAAATCACCCTTACTGTGAATGGGACGAACTTGACAAAGAATACCGATATAGCAAACCACTTTGGGGATTTTTTCGCAAATTCTGTCAGTAACACCATACAAAGCCTCAATTTACCAAGAAATATGTGTACAACTAACGACATACGAAGCGCAAAATCTATGTTTTTTGTGCCAGTCAACGAACATGAAATAAAACAAATAATACTAACAATGAAAAAGAAATACTCTGTAGGAATTGATGAAATACCAGCTATTGTACTAGAAGAATGTGTTGATAAAATCTCCATTCAATTATCTGAGATCACTAACTTACCTGTCACCCAAGGTGTGTTTCCAAATAAATTAAAAACTACCAAGACCATCCCTGTGTTCAAAAAGGATGATCCCCAATCTGTCGAAAACTATAGGATGATATGTATACTTAGCTGCTTTTCCAAAATCATTGAAACAGCCGTGTATAATCAGATAATCAACTACCTCAATCAAAATAATATAATAACCCCATCCCAACACGGCTTCCGCCGCAATTACTCGATAGAAACCGCTTCAATAGAACTGACACAATACATCCACGAAAATATCGACCAGAACAAATATGTGGCAGGAATCTTCTTCGATCTGACTCGCGCCTTCGATACAATCAACCCTGAATATCTAAAAATTAAATTAGAAGCGATGGGCATCAGAGGACCAATCCAGTCATGGATCCAATCTTATATGACGGGCAGGAAACTCAAGGTTCAGATTGAGGATCAGTTTTCTAGTGAATTCGATACCTTCATTGGTACCCCTCAAGGAGGGGTGTTAGGCCCACTTTTATTCCTACTATATGTGAACGACTTACCCTCATATATAAATCATGGACGCGTATTCATTTACGCAGACGACACAACAATTATAGTTGCAGCTGATGGCCTATCTGAGCTGGAAATTTCAACACAAGCAGTCATGAGTAACTTCGCACAATGGTGCAAAAGAAACCATCTTATTATAAACGAAAAAAAAACTGTGATGATCGAATTTACTGCACCGCTGAAGAATGAAAACAATTTAAAACTATTAACTAGCACTAACACTATAATTTACTCATCCAAATGCACCAAATTTCTTGGAATAGAACTTGACCATAAATTGAACTTCAACAAACAAATTGACTGCCTATGTAAAAAATTGAATAAACTTTACTTCGCGATGAATAGTCTGAAATCGAATTTTTACCGATGTCAGCTGATTAACTTATACTATGCCTTAGTCTACTCAGCGATCAGCTGCAACATAATCGTGTGGGGCAGGGCGACCGAGATAACGAGAGTATTCATTCTGCAAAAGCGATTTATTCGCCTGATATTCAACTTGGACTATAGGGAATCATGTAGAGAGACTTTTAGGACAAATAGCTTGATGACTTGTACAAGCATTTACCTCTACAAGCTATTAAATTATACCCACCAGCACAAAAATAAGTTTCAAAAAAATAGTGATGTCCACCAATACAACACTCGAAACAAAAACAATGTCCACTTAAGCAAATTCAACCGTCTGCACCTGAAAAAATCTCCACTCTATGCAGGAGGATATTTCTATAACCTGCTACCAGATGAAGTAAAAGCAAATGAAAATATAGTCAAATTCAAATCCACCTTGAAATCATTTTTGATTGACAACTGTTTTTATTCCCTAACAGAGTTTACTGAACAATTACTAAAATGAAATAACATATTCTCATCCCCTACATAGCACCAGGCATTTTATTCCCAACTCTACATGTACGAACTTTTAAAAAATATGTATTGTATTATTGTATTGTTAGTATTTTTAGGTGTATTTTTCGTTTTTATTAAGATGTATTGTAATTTTATCCTGATTCGCAACCGAACACGGTTATTAGACTTATCTCATGTCATGTAAATGATTCGAAGAGATCAATAAATCTATCTATCTATCTATCTATAAAAATTGAAGACAAGCACTTTTTTAAACATCAGAATTGAAATACTCTTCTCGATGCGTGTTTCACCAACCAATTTGGCGTCTTTAGGAGATGAAGAAAACTTCATATCGTGCAAAGTCAAATTTTAATTGAATTTATTGAAAAAAAAAATCCATACAATATGCACTTTAGTGTTGAAATCACTGAATTTTATCAGTTTATTGGGTCTAGTATGGCAGAATGTTACAAAAAAAAAACAAAAAAAAAATGTGATCAACTTGTTAAGCTTTGGGATCACTATTGACACACAGGTTGACAGGTAAACCGCTTTTACAGGGTTTTGCAGCTATTAAGTGCAATATACCTGTTCAACAAATTGATACTGAAATTCCTTAGCTAAAAAATTGTGAATATTTTTCATAAATATTTTTGTAAAATCATAGCACTAAAATTGAACAACTAAATGAGTTCTACTAAAAAGTCATTTCAGTAATGAAAAGAGTATACTTTTTATGAATCAATCTGGTTTTAGATCCAATCATTCATGTGAGTCAGCCATTCAGTTAACTGTTAATGAATGGAAAAGTAGTATGAGTAAAAATATGTTCACTGTGGTTGTGTTTTTGGATTTGAGGCGAGCATTTGAAACCATTAACCATAATATACTCCTAAAAAAACTGAAACTCTACGGCATAAGGGGAAAAGTACTTGATTGGATTAACAACTATTTAACAGGTAGACAACAACAAACAAAAGTTGGTAATTCATTGTCAGCTCCATTGGAAGTGCAACATGGAGTTCCACAAGGAAGCATTTTGGGTCCGCTATTGTTTCTTCTATACATAAATGACATAAAGCATTACAATGAATGTAACTATATACACTTGTTCGCAGATGACACGTTAATATCAGTAACTGACAGAGATTTGAATAATGCCGTACAAAAGATGAATAATTCTTTAAATAGAATAACAGAATACCTCAAAATGAATAAATTGAAACTGAATGTAGACAAAACAAAGGGGATGATAATTGCCACACCATTTAAATGAAATGTAAATACCTAGTGTGTACGTTTAAATTTAAAACAAAACAAATATATTAATACTATCGAAGGAGCTGCTAATTACTATATATAAGATTATACTTTGTGAATGTAGATTAGGATTACCTATTTCAAATAAAGATTATTATTATTATTAATATTGTTGTAAATCATGCCCGAAAGAAAGTAACGCCGGCCGCCACTGGTAACCATAAACCAAACGTGACGTAACTATGAGCGCGCGAATATACGGTGATTCCCCGCCACTCTAGAAGCACCGATTTCAACGGAACTTCGGCGAAATTTCTACGGCATTTGATTACGATATTTAAAGGCTAACCACGAGGATATCGAGACAGTCAAGTTGAAGTTACAGTGCGGTACGTGAAGTGATCTTGTAAGGCGATAGACATTCAAATGATAGTTGAAGTGTTTGTTGTATTAAAGTGAAATAAAATCAAGTTTTATTATTCAGTGTAGTCAATTCTTGGTCAACCCACGGGTAGAAAACGTAACAATATAATAGTGAGGGAAATCCTGAAGAGAAACAGGATAATTTAATTTCAATTTCAGGTCAAATGCAAATATGAAGAATTGTGGAGTACATAATTTATTTACCTCAACGAGTTTTTAGTACTCTAAACATTTTTGCAATAGTTCAATAAATAATACTTGAGATACTCAATGACTTAACACTCAATTGTTAATATCCAATCATAGCTATTTAACGCGCTTACCCTCCTCCTTTAGCTTTGTTTGCTATCGCATTTGCACTCGGTCTGGCATCCATTATAAATAACTTATGTGATTGAGCATTGGCATCCATTATCAACTGAATATATCTTTCATCTTCTTTGCTTCTTTTTCCACCTACCTAAAATTTATATTTCTCAATCTCGTTGAACATGAAATACCGATACTGATTGAAAGAAGAAAATGTTGAAAAAGGAATTAGACAAAAAAATATAGTTAAAACATCTGAAGGGAGAAAAAAAAACAAACTCTTAAACAAAGATATGTAGACCAATCACAGAAGTTTATTTCATTTACAAATTATAAAAAAGCCCTCTCCAAACAACTGCTTTCACGTGAAAGTTGTCTTTTCTGGTTCTTTCATTCATCATATTGTGTAATTTTCTTGTAAACGACATCTATTTCAATTCCATAACAAATGTTTGAAGAATGTATAGAATGAATTTTTTTTCCATATAATTCATTGTTCATATGAAAGTAATTGTTTTGAAAGGATTTTTTGGTTTGAGTAATTTAATATTAATGCGGAAGTAGTTGTTTCGAGAGGAATTTTTCTTTCGTTTAATGCAATGTTCATGTGAAATTAGTTGTTTTAAGCAGGAAAGACACGCCCAAAGAAGTGTTTTTGTAAAACTGTTTAGTGAAAATCTCACAAGAAAGTGTTTTTTGAATAGTTTATTTTGAACTTAATTGCTTTCTTTTTCACTTCAGAAGTTTCCCACATCATTTTGTACAAAGATGCCAAAGTAGATAGCCAAAAAGCTACATATTACTATAGCAATCAATCATGAAATAGACATTACCTGAATGTCAATACAGTTCACAAGCTATGAAATGGTTCTGTAGTCAATGATTATATTTGGAGAAATCACTGTCTGAATTCTGAAGAATTCTTTAATAAAAATGAGTCATGCCAAATTAAACATAATGAAATGTACTCATTATCAGCAAAGAAGGATCAGAAATATGTAAGATAGATAAAATTTTAAAGATTTTCATCTATCACGTTCATATGAAATTTACCTTTTTTATCGCACTAACTTTATTCTGTCATTTCTGAGATTAAGCTATTTACATGATTGAAATTGGTAAGCTAAAATAATTTTTAATACCCCAACAAGTGGTTGTGAACATCTTGTGATTGTTCCTTGAGATTCTGGATGGATCCAACTCAGAACAGGTATTCTTCCTCTACTCCGAAAATTAGCTACCGATTTGATGTCATCATCTGTCACTTGTGCAGGTACTGCCCAAACAGCAGGATAACTATCACATATTTCATAAAGTTCATTAATTTTTGAAATTTTCCACATGTCATTGTTTACACCCTGAAAAATTGAGTATAGATTATTTTACAATGAAAATGCAGTTGCAAATATGAAAAACTTAAAATCTTGCACTATTGAAAAAATTGAGAAACAGCATTATGTGTTTTGAATGGCATAATATCATCTTTTTGAAATTTGTATGTTCAATGCAAACCTAGGAGAAAGATATGCATACACTGGTCAGTCACTCGATGAAATTTATTACCCATCAATAATTATAGAATTTTCATAAATTTAATGTGAAATTTCTATAAAAGTGGTTGAAAAATTTCTTATTGAATTTTTTCGATCCTGAAGATAGCATGGTAGGAGAAGGTAGCTAAAAAATGTAAATCTTTTTCAAATATAACTGCTCTAATCACTTTATGTAGCTTACAAAAGGTCAAAATTAGAAAATCCCATCATTATGAAATAAACATGATACAATAACTGAACAAAGATGAATTCAACAGAAGAGTTGAGTTTTGTAGCACCCTATCGGAATGTCTCAACCATAATCCAGCTCTGTTGTTCACCAATTTTTTCTTGGATGAATGGGTAGTACAAGTACTAATTCATTTTCTGAGTTGTAGATTATTGTGTAATTACTGATTGTAGTTCTCAAGTGATACTAACTGAATAAAACAATCAAAAACCTAAAATAGATTTTTTTTATCCAGTATTCGGCCGGATAGTATTTAGGACGCTGGATAGTTATCGGATATCCATTTTATATCTAAATCACAATTCGTAAAACTAAACCTGTGTTACAGTAATGAGTATTTCCAAACAAGGCTTACTTTGTTTATGATTTCATATGATGGAATATGATAGTGCATGCATTGTTTATGAAACAATAATTGCTGCACAAAATATCTATTACATCATATTGAAGTTGAAATGAAAATAAAAGTGGAGATGGAAGTTGATGCTGCATACATCCATCTTCAACTATAATTATAATCCACCTAATACGAATATAGGATTTTTTTTTCTATTCTATAATAAAATACTAATGATAATGCAATATTAGATGCAATTACAAGATATAATAAGATCTTACCATTCTCTTCAATTCAGCAATTGGTTCATAGACAGCCCATCCATTTTCTGGAAATGCTTCTGAATATTCAAATGCAAATAAATTCATTTTGTGTGATAATGGAAAAGCATACATTTGCAGTTTCTCAAACACATTTCTCCTCGAATGGTTTTCCTGTTTATGGGCAAATCTTAAATTTCTCATATCTTTACAAAATACCTCAATACCATATGCATTTTCTCCCCTTGATGAGGCTCCACCAACTTTTTCAATTCTGGAAACCTAATATAAATGTGGAAGTGTGTATTTAATTTGTGTATTCAAATTTTTACCACTCCCAAAGGAACTTCAACAACATTAGGCGTATCTTTATCTCCTGATCTGAAATATAACTTGTAATTAGTGACTGTTAAAACTCCTCTAGCTGGACCATGATAAGGACATAAATAAGTTACATCTCTTGCTTGACCTGTAACTTTTTCACCAGGTAGTACAGGCGGGTCATCTGGACGACTGGAAACTCCTGACTCATTGGGTACCTGAAAATAAGGTTAGTGAGGAAAAATTGAAGTCGAAAATATAAACATCCAAACAACTTTTTTACGTTCCAGGGTGGATACTACATTTTCTGTAGAAGTAGAACTTGAAGAACAATAGCTTTTACTTGGAGAGGTTTTACCCCAACTGGTCTGAAAATACTAATGTGAATTTATTTTTTCACCAAACTTACAGATCACTTACCGTTTCTTGTTTATTCAACAAATTGGACTTGGAATCAGTTCTGAACCCATCTAAAGTTAAATTTTTGTTAAATGTGTTATTATCCATCTCCAGAAGTTCTATGCTGCTAGTTTTCCTATTCATCATTTCTTATTTCTGAAAGTATGCAGATAATCTAAGAAAGAAGCAATGCAAACCGCTAATATTTCGAATGTAGACCAAACCTATTTTAATTGTTGTAATTTATAACATTCTGACAATTGACACTGACAATCAGATTTTTTTTCGTTGACCTCTGACCACACTCTTAGTTATAGAGGTTAGAGGTAAGGAGAACCATCTCTGAGTATCAGTAGCCATGAAAAAATGTGATCATTCAGCTCATATGATGAGACAAATTTCTTAGTTGTAATTTGTCATATTTTAAAAAATTGGTGGAGTTTAGGATATTTTTTGGGAAATCGACTTTCGGTGAAATGTTTTACTCTAACTTCAGAAAAGAGTTCATGACATATTCTCATTGACACAATGACACTAGTAATTTTCAAATAGTTATAAAAAATGTTTGCATTACAAAATATAGTACTGTTGTAGAAAAAAGTGTTTATCGATAATATGTTATAACGTTTATGATGACGAATAATACCACAAATATCAACTTGTCATTCAGAAAGGAACGAGCGTGCGTTAAATATAATTCGCTTCGCCACCGTACATTTCGCTAACTCAGTGATCACGTGGTATCAAATATGCATCTATATGCATTTTATACTCGCTTGCCTTCAAATTTTTGAAACCGAACGCACCCAAAGTACTTCGGTTACCTTTGATTTTTGAGAAAAAAATTCGGAACCATGTAGTTTTACAAATTGGAGAGTAAATAATTTGTTATATTCTACATATTCAGATGAGTATAAATAATATGATTGTCACAGCATTTATACCTGGTGGGGACAAATCCTGATACGCCAAAGTGGATGTCTAATTAACTACACTATGATAGATAAAATTTGGCGGTAAATTTTGAACTTTCAACAAGAATCTCTTCTTGCTATTCATGATTTTCTGTCTAACAGATATCAATATTACCGGAGTTTTTTCCCAACACCAAATCGTTATTCTTACACCTCGACACGTGTTTCGATCACCAAGTGATCATCTTCAAGAGGAAGATAAAACTGTTTTATCTTCCTCTTGAAGATGATCACTTGGTGATCGAAACACGTGTCGAGGTGTAAAAATAACGATTTGGTGTTGGGAAAAAACTCCAGTAATATTCATTACTACACCAAAGGTTCCAGACAGTATATCACAGTAACAGATATCAGTTCAGAAGTTAAATAACGTTTACAACCTAGTCAAAAAAAGGGTTTGAAATTGAATCGAAAAAAATTGTTGATCAGAAAGGCAATTAATAGCAAAACTACTACAATGCAGCAAAAACCTCTGAAATATATGCTTTCATTATATGTTTAGTTACTTACAATGCTTTCGTCAAGTAAATTATTTGTGATATATCAGCACTATTAAACAGAGTATTTTTCTCTTTAGCTAGTTTGAACAAAAATCTGTTTAAAACCTGTTTTTCCGTTATCCAGCTGTCGCACCCCTACGAACGACAACCCTCAGAAGTCGAAACTTCTGCGAGCTAAGGATTAACGTGGTCTTACCTTTTAACGTGTGATTGGACGATAGCAAGTGAAAACCGGCGGTCAATTTGAGTGAGTGAACAAAGCATCCACGTCGAACCGATTGGCTACCAACCAACCCTTGAAAACTTCTATTTTCTCTCTGACCATGAACACGTATACAACTGTATGCGATATCATTTGAAACCATGATATAAAAAGTTGTATTAAATAAGAAATGATATTATTAACGATTTATGAAAAAATTATTCAATGTGTGGTGAAAAGTAACGTATCGACTGAAACTTCAGTTGATACGTCAAGAAGAGTACTTCGACCACGCCACTGAAGATGGCTTCTGCCGCAGTTGAAACGTTTGGAGATTGTAACCAAAGAAGACCACGGCAAAACCCGGAAACCAACCAAAACACACTTCAACTTTTGTCACAGGTAACTCTTGCCCATATAAAAATTAACTTTTTTGTGTCACTAACTTCTCGTTGTGATTTTTATGAGTTGAATCAATTTTCCTGCCCAAAACTTGATTCATCTTTTCATAGCTAAATACGTGAATGAATGTGTGATTCAAATACATTTTCGTGGTCATGTTTTTATGTTCTATTCAATGAATAAATGGGTCGAATAATTAATCAACAAAACACCATTAAGTTTGTTGCACAAACTGAAGCGCATTCAGTCAATGATATGAGGTTCCACCTCATTTCCATTTTGATTTCCCGCATCGATAATGAAGCCCAATTTAACATTTGGTTCATGTCTGGCGTATCCAATGAACCAAAGAATACTTGATATGTGCCCAGTGTTTTGGCACCTGCCTTACAAGTACAATAATAACCTGTTTTCACTCTCATTTGTGTACTGTATCCACATTTTGTACATAAGATGGAGCAAGTCTCAATTGATATGTACCAACAGTCAAATATCGTAAAGTCCAGAGTCATCAGCCTAAGAAAATAAGGAAAATGATGATGGCCCAATAATGGTATCCATCTTCTCCGTCTCCTCCTGAGATTTTCTTCTATTATGTTCTGTACCCTATTTATCTGGCGAGATCTTTTCAGAATCAGTTGGGCTAATTCTGCATCTGTTCCTCTCATTTTTATCACTGGGTTGTATTTGTTAATAATTGCACCAATAAGAAGAAGGTCCCTCAAATAATAAAGGTGATGGGTTGATATTGTGTTCGAAAAAAACTTAAAGATTGATTTCATGTGTCCATTGCGCGCTTCAATTATCCACCGGGTTTTAGTCACGAGGCGAAGGGCATTAGCCTCTTCAATAGTAGGTTGTTGTCCATTCTGCACACTGTAGGGCATTTTATGTACAATACGTAATTCTTCCAGAAGAGGAATGGCGTCTCTATAACCACGATCGACAACAAAAATGACATCCTCAACAAACCAGTTTTTTATCCCATTAATGTCTCGATGAAAAATCATTTGGCAACGATGGCATATCGTTATTTCTGGGGTCGGAGAAGTAAGGTCCTTGAATTGATAAAATATAACCGTTGGGAAAAACAATAAATAGTAATTTTTGTGTCTGCAGTAAGACTGAAGGAGTACTTTGAAATTCTTGCTTTTCTCCACTTCACAATAGGTCCCATCTATGTATGTAATGACTTTACGCTGTTCAGGATTTGGATTATATACTATATTTGTGAACCGATCAACATGGCGTTGCATGTATTTTTCCCGAGTGATTGAACCGAAACCACTATTTTCTGGGACGAATTTTTGTGCAAGTGATCTTCTCACACTTGAAATTGCCATACTTGTGCATTGCCGTGAAGGATATTTGAAAATGACTTTCAAAAAATCGTCGGAGAACCCTTGTTAAAGTTTGCACAAAAAAGCCAGGAGATTTTTTTTATAAATATATCTGTCTCCACCTTCTACTAGTATAGACATAATTACCCGATTACGAGAGTCTAGCAGGTCTAGCTTTACATACTACGCACGATTCGCTCGAAGTTTGAATAATTCAGGCACATCCAACTCTCTCTCCCACTCAATGAGCTTATGGATGAAATAAAGTTGGATTCCTCATGATCATCCCTAACCGATCTTGTATTAATATACAGGGTGTATCGTTTGAAAATAAAAAATTGATGTCATTTTTGGAAAAACCGGAAGTTGAATTTGTTTTACAAATATGTCAAAAAGTACCGTCTAGTGAGCATATTCAATGTTTCCAGAAATATAGCTAGAGAAACAAAGGAGAAAAGGGGGCTGTACCATGAATATGTGTCACACGGTATATCAATTGAATCATCTTCTATATATCCATATACATTGACTTACTTTTTCACAATATATTGTTTTCATGTTACAAAAATTATTTTTTTATTCCTCGGATTATGGCTTTTTATGTCACCCTGTATGGTGTGCAATTATTGACAAACAACGGTGGTGTGAAGACACAAGACCCATGAAAGAATTGCTAAAGTGTATGATAAATTTCCGAGAGGCATGAAGTTGCAAAATAACATAGACTATTTCTCCCGTTTAACTACCAAATTCCCTACTTTGCTGAATTTGAGCAATTGTTTTCTCAAAAACTGTACCATTATTTTTCATTATGATGTGCAATTATTGGCAAACGGTGGTGTGAAGACACAAGACCCATGAAAGAATTGTTAAAGTGCATGCTAAATTTCTGAGACATGAAGTTGCAAAATAACACAGACTATTTCTCCCGTTTAACTACCAAATTCCCCACTTTGCTGAATTTGAGTGATTGTTTTCTCAAAAACTGTACTATTATTTTTCGTTGTGCCTGTGGAAACTTTTGATCAGGACATTGAAAAGTAAATCACACCAAAAAATCAGCAGAATTCACTAAATGCCATTTTCCATAAGGCTTGTGTGTGGTCCTTAAATATTCGAACTGCATAAAAACGAATTTAACTTCATTGCCAGATTCAATTTATAAGATATTACCAATTCCAATGTTATATATACAACTAATCTATCATTTTTTAGGTTTGCTCACAAATTCAGTATCTTTACCATCTAACATAAATCACAATGATGCTCTTGAGTAATTACTACCAGTCAAACAAGTGATGATCCGTTTGATGATAGGATTGTTCTTGACCATTCATAAAAGTACTATCAGGATTGAATATTTTCCCCTCGTTTTATTATTAGTAGGTTAATTGAAAATTTCATGAAATAAAACTACAGATGATTAAAAATCGTAATTATATATATTTACATCTTTAAACAATCCTTGGAACAAATCTGTAAGTTTATTTATAATAAATAAGAAACATTACAATAAAACTAAATATAAAATTATTTACAGAAATTAACGACATGAAAACATAAATAATAAAACACCTGTGTCACAATATATTTAAACGCCATACCAAATAATATGTAGTGGGTATCTCAATCAATTATTTGCCATAAATATTCCAAAAACAAAATGAAATAATCATGTGCCAATTAATTAAAAAGATTACAAGGTGGCATATTTAGGAGACTATTTTATAGAGATATGTGATGAAATTGGCCGATACTTGATGAAAATCAGTAACATATAACATTCAAGTTACTTCAATATTTCAAAGGGGCTTTATTAACTTTTACAAAATTTGGAAAAAATTGCTCAAATGTGGAAATTTACAAATTTAAAAAATATTGCTCGAATGTTGAAATTGGAACGGTTATAGGGGATCAGTCTCTCACAAATTTAGTAATGATTTTCAGAAAAGTTCTCTGGATAGATCATTTTTTTAAAATACCTATTTTTCATATCATAATACAATTTACTGTAATGTTGCTGAAAACAGATTCGAACACAAATTGTGCAAAATTCTTTTTACATGTACATGAAAACATAAACAATTTAGAGATTTGTCTCCAAGATATTTGTAGGAAAATAATATATTGAGATGATGTTCACTGATAATATTTCAGAGAATTTCTCAAACAAAATATCTTAGTGATATAAACATAAAAAATAAAATTTAGGTATATATAGTCTCTCTTGTATAATCTACTGGATGTAGAAGACCTACCTTTTTGACTATGGTTTTCTTGAAATATTTCATTTCAGATGAAATATGATATAAAATCTTTTATGGTGTCAACCTATAGCTTAAATCCATTCCCATATTTTCATAAAAGGCAACAGGTTTCTCCGGAGACACAGCTTGGGGAGGTTTATCACATTCTTCCAAGAATTTGATAACTTTTTCTGTGGCTTTAATAGCACAAACACTAGAGGCCTCAGTCTACACAAAAATATTGATTTAGAATCGCAAACAAAATTTTGTAACAACTGACAACTCACCGATGCAGTTAAGTTCATAAAATTGAAGAATTTCTTGAGCAGCTCGACCATATCACTGAAGTTGCCGCCCTTCAGAAATTGCCTCACAAAAACTTGCCTTTCTGGATTTTCCATTATGAGAAAGCCTATTAACATAACTATGTACGAAGCCAGGAAAGTAAATTCCATATGGGTACCAGCTTTTTGCAACACTAAAAATATAAATGAAAATAAATTGCCATTTATTAGTATCGATGGTAAAAAACAATTTTCACAAACAGATATGTAGATACTACGAAGGTGTAGAGTAGTCAGAAACTTTCTTGAAAATAAGATTCACTGAATTTCGAGTTTCCTGTCGAATTTAAGAAAATTTCCGGATTGAAGTCGGATTTTAATTATATTTCGAGATTGAAATTAAAATTTTATAACTTTGTTAAATCATGTACGTGTTTATGTTTCGGGTATAAAGAACCCCCCACCATTTTTATGGAAAATGGATCAAGCTAATCAAAAGTGTTCCTGGTCCTAACTCAATCCTATGGCAAGTTTTCGAGATACAGTGTGTCAAAGTTGGCAAGTGGCCATTTCTTTAGAGTAATATTGCTTTCAGGAAAACATCCTAAATAAAAATATTTTGCGCCACAAATACTGCTTGCACATGAAGCAATACTTTTAGGCTGATTTTTGATAAAAAATATTGTTTTATACAGGGTGAGTGCAGCATTATTCAAAATGAAAACCTCAATCAACTCTATGAAATGAAGATGTGACCAAAACAAGTAACGCACTGTTTGATATGCTTATTGTTTAAATATCTCAAAATTGATTAATTCAAGATTTTGTACAGGGCGAATCAAGAAGTAATAGTTTTTCTGGTGACATTTTGTATATTTTTCTTCTACTTCGAGCTTTAGGGAAACTTAACCACGAACCATTAAACATACTTCTTGATCAAAATTTATTTACAGTTGAGACACACACTAGATGATGACAAAAATTGCGAAAATGATTGGTTTTTTATAATTCATCCTTTAATCGATTTGCTGAATTTTTGTTATGATGAAGTTCAAGTCAAGCTGATCAAAAGTGTCCAACCTTGAAAAATGGACAATTTTTTTCTCTACAAGGTGTTGAAAGTTTACAAATAAGACTAACTCAGTTATCCACATATTCCACCCAGCTTATAGTCATATTTTTTGTTTTCAATTCTCACTTCTTCACAGAAAATTTCCTACACTGACGCCTGTCAGATATAATCCAACACACTTCGTGGTATTAGCCAGGGGAGTAGTTGTTTTCTGATAGGCGTCAATCCATTCAACCTACTGTGTAGGTATATTCGAGACTGGCTTGAACGTTTAAAGTTCATTTCTTTAGATTTGTTTACTGCCAGTCTTCAAGCATAGCCCACTGGCTAATAAGAAAGTTTTTCCTCCTTATTCAGAGGAATCCGGCAAATTACGGATATGCGGTTGGTTAGTACCTCGTCCACTAGATGGAGTGACATTTTGTTTTTTCGCTCCAACTTAGGAAGAGGAATGAAATACTCTGAAAGAATTCCGATTTTCAATTATGGAATATAGTTGACTTTAGGTCGATGACAGCCACTATCTTGCACTGATGAGTGGCTAATGAGCCCGAAACCGGTCTGCAAGTGTGGCCGTTCCAAAATTGAAGGTCGACTCTTTCAGTTGTATTGCCAATTGCATATGCAGGAAATTTTCTGTGAAGATTCCTGCACTGATGCCTGTCGGATATAATCCAATGCCCTTCGTGGTATTAGCCAGGGGAGTAGTTGTTTTCTGATAGGCGTCAGTCCATTCAACCTACTGTGTAGTTATATTCGAGACTGGCTTGAACGTTTAAAGTTCATTTCTTTAGATTTAATTAGAGACTTGTCTGAACGAATTGCTCTTTCAGATAATTTGAGAGGCAATGAGGTTGTGATATTGGACAACTTGGATTACTATGAGAGAATTGAGAATTTAATCAAGAGCTATAATAAATTACCAGGGAATTGATTGCCTAAGATGGTTTGTGAAAAACATCCTGAAGAAGTGTCAAAATTTGCATCACGATAATGCACCTGCTCACTCTTCATTGCTTGTTCATAATTTTTTGAATAACGATGAGATTGGAACCTTTGGTGTGAAAGTTGAATAACTCTTTTCGAGATCAATTGCCCTAACACCAAACTGATATTTTTGCACTCGACGCGCGTTTCGCCAACAAAGTTACCATCCTCAGGAGAGGAAAATTGATACCTAGTCTAGTCAGTCCTTATATACTAAAATTTATTACCTGAGGTTGTATACCCCGTTTAGCCCGCTTTTTAATCTTCTGTTAGGAAGAGAATAATTTCTAAGAACTTGCCGGTAGTTAATTACCGAGATTTTCCATATTGGACTTCAGGTATACAACCTCAGGTAATAAATTTTAGTATATGAGGACTAACCAGACTAGACTAGGTATCAATTTTCTTCTCCTGAGGATGCTAACTTTGTTGGCGAAACGCGCGTCGAGTGCAAAAATATCAGTTTGGTGTTAGGAGATTGATCAATCTTCTTTTCCTGAGGATGCTAACTTTGTTGGCGAAACGCGCGTCGAGTGCAAAAATATCAGTTTGGTGTTAGGGCAATTGATCTCGAAAAAAGTTATTCATAATTTTTTGGCCAAACACAACACTGTGATCATGTCTCAGACACTGTTATCACCAGATTTGGCACCCTAAGACTTTTTCCGGTTCCCAAAATTGAAGATACCCATGAAAGGACGGCGTTTTGCGACGATTGTGGAGATAACCAAATTGCTGAGAGCTCAAGGACATCAAAAAAAGTACATATCAGAACTGCTTCGAGGATTGGAAAAACGCTGGCACAGGTCTGTTATATCTGAGGGGGACAAAATAGAAATTGATGAATAAATGAATATTTTTTGAGAAAAATGAAAATACACCTTATTTTTTGAACAGACACTGTACATAACTTTAACAATTTCATGTATAAAAACATACATTTTTGGAGTACATTTGGCAACTTGTAATCCATATTTCAATACTTACACTTTGCAACAGTCTCTTCAATAAATTCTTCATTCGATTTAGGAGTCGGAGTATCTTCGCCATCCTTCTCACCATCTAGGATAGCATTTGTTTTACTCTCGGCTACCTTAGCACATCCCTCCCAATGATAGAATTGTGCAATTAAGGCCTCCACAGCACTCTCTTCTCCTAAAATAATCGAAAAAATACACAAATTATCACAGAATATGTTGATAAGAGTAATATTTTCTCTTTTGAAAACTTACGAGAATATATGCTTTCAAGTTTAGAGGGTGCTTTAGCTTCTGTTAAGAGTTTTTTATTGGCTTCTTGATCTTGAATGAGATTTATCAGCAACATCAGTACCTAAAAATGGGACATTACAAATAAAAACAGAAAACTCGTTAGTTATTATCAACGAATATATTCAAATTATATTATATTATTTAGTAGCTAGGAGCCGCCAAACTATCCACTTCTTTCAAGTCTTCGAAAAATACTACAATTTTATAGGCATATTGCATTTTTCATAATTTTATGACACCCATTCCAAAAATCTTCTTTCATGTTCTATTATGTACAATTTCTTTGTTGCATGTTTGTCATATTCTTCAGACATAACTTGGATTGCCCATTAATCACTAATATGTGATCTAGTGTCTCACCACAGATAATGTCTCCGTTATACAATCCTATTTTGTTCAGGGGTCCTCTAACTGAACTGTGTCCAGCGAGTTGCCTATAATTTTCCTGAGATAACTGCTCACTATACAATAGCTTCCTCAAGCAAGAATGGTGAGGTTCTTCCATATGTGTTCCCATATTTATTTTCAAATCTTTACATTTCTCATTGACCTATTTCCTGATCCTGCCCCCTATAGTTGGTTCATGGTCCAATTATTAACTTGGGACGAAGGTGACTATATAGGTAGGTGTAATGTAAATTTCATAGTATATTCCTGCTCACGTGACTGTACATGAATATGTTTGATGCTCCACCTATTCCAAAGTTTCTATTTTGTCTGTTCCTTGTAGCTCAGTAAATATTTCTAGTTATTAACATTCTCCAGTTATTACAAGATATAAATGCGGTAGATTCAGGAAAGTATACTGTTCATTCTACTTTCATTTCACTCTGCTTTCATAACTATTTATAGAATTGTTTTTTTTTATCTTAAATTATTCAACATAGCTCAAATTTAGGCCCATTCAATAGTAATATCTCAAATTTATGGTCAAATTATCAGTTCCCAACCCTTTGTTGTGGATTATACATACTTTCTGTTCAGCCACGACCAGGTAGTCAATTGAAACCACTTGCTATCTCCGCTATCTACTTCGAATATACTCAAACCTCAAAACATTTTCTCACCCTTTCAAACGGATCTAGCATACAGTTCGCTTTCCTCTAGAGTTCAAAAGAGCGGCAGAAACAACTGAGAAATTGGAAAAACGATGAGAGCTTTTTCTTTCTCTTCAGATGGTGAAACCTCAACGCAGTCAAACATCAGCATATCTGATATTGCTATTGGTACGGCTATCAATTTCTTGTTATTCAAAAACAAGACTGCACACTTTGCCTAGTTTGTTAAAGGTCTTATTTTTCAACATGCAATTCGTGGCATGTTATAAGGTGCAATTAGATTGAGTAGAGTTTCCCATGAATATCTATTTCGAATACATTGATGAATTTAATAATAATTCATTTGATAGAAAGATCGGATGATATACACATCTCCGACACAATTTACATTGGTATTTGTATTTTTTTTCCTTCAAATTAATAATTTTTCACAGAATACTACTATTCATGTATGCATACTTTTTGAAATAATTTTTCTTTGAAAAATCAACATACTCACCAGTACTCCCAATTCAAACTTTTTCTGTTCGGGTATGTAGTTTGGTACTTGAAGTAACAAATGAAGACTTGTTTCTATTATTCCTGGCCTCGAACCAATTAACTGACTGCCGATAGCTGTAAAAATGAATAATTTCTTAAATATTTGTTTGAATTGGTTGAAAATGTTTCTTGATGAATGTTACAAGTTCGGACTTCCATTATCTAAAAGAGGTGTTAAAAGATTTGATATCTATGGAAGAACAAATTGAATGACTGCCGATATCTGTAAAAATTAATAATTTCTTAAATATTTGTTTGAATTGGTTGAAAATGTTTCTCAGGTAAGACTGCAGTTACTTACTCAGAAGTTTGCTGAAAAAAACAACAATGTAGAAATCGTTAGAGCATAAAGTATGCTGTGACAAAAAACCCCATGCAAGATGACGACATCAACACCCAACAGAAACACTGTTAGAAAAACTAACACAGATTTATCAATGAAATTGTTTTTTTTTTTTTTTGCAAGGTTAGTTCGTGGGACAACCAAGTCATCTCTTCCTCTTGTATCGTATTTGTGTATCTGATGGTTATATGTAATGAATTCATTGAAGTAATGTGGTGCTTTTCCAGTGAGTATTTTAAATATGAATATCATAGAAAAATATTGTAATCTATCTTTTACCGTCATCAAATTCAGAATATTAATCATAGATAATATAGGAGCATATTTATGTCATTTTAATAACAAGCGCATTCCTCTGTTTTGTAATTTTTGTAGAGTAGAGATAGAATTACCGTCTAGTAATGATATAAGAGTAGCACACTAATCAAACTGTGGCAGGATTATTGTTTTACAAACAGTCAAATTAGATAGATAAATGTTAGTTATCTACTAATTCTAGTAAAGAAAAACTTTTTTTAGAAATTTTATTACACATATACTAGAAGTGTTTTTCAAGTTCAAAGTGTTATCACCCAGGTATTTGAATTCTTCCACAATTTCAATAGTTTCGCCGTAGATCTCAATATTAATGGAGTTGATATCAATTTAGTTATATTTATATTGTGTTGTCAATATCATAGCTTTCGTTTTAGTGGTATTCAGTTTGGGTTTGTTTATGTTCAAAAACTTTTCCACATTTTCAAGAGTCAAATTAATTTTGCGACAGCATTATGAATATCAGAGTCGCTTGTTGCAATGAGAGTATTATCTGCAAAGAGGTTGATGAATTGACAGTCACTAACAACATTTATGTCATTCAAATAGAGTATGAATAATACAGGGCCAAGTACACTCCCTTGGGGGACCCGATATCAATTGCTTTTTGGCTTGATAGGACGTTGTTTAGAATAGAATAGAATACAATAGTTTATTGGTGCTGTTTAACATAAAGTTTTACACAAGTCAAAATGAATATAAATAAAATAAACTAAAATTACAATGTATAAAACACACTTATATAATTTACACGTTAAAATCTTTTGTTATCTAAAATACAAGTACAAGTGTCAGTCCATATCAATAATGATGGTAGTGTTGAGATACTCGTCAAAATTATAAAAAGCCTTACTGTACTTGAAGTAATTTTTTAAAACTATTTTTAGTTTATTCCTCTCTAGATTTTTAATATGTACTGGTAATTTATTATAAAATTCTGGAGCATAGTATAATGTAGCATTTCTAGGTTTTTGTAGCCTCAGACTCATTATTCTTATGTCTTATTTTTTCTTTTTGCTACCCCGAGTTAGCGTCACCATGAGATGACTCTAGTGAGATATATCTATAGTTTCGAACGCTCTTTTGGAATCCATTGACATCAATCGACAGTTTCCATTTATACAAGGTGAGTTGAAGAGCAGTTTCACATGAGTGTTGCGATCTAAAACCTGATTGATACCCCATCAAAAGGTTGTTGTCTTCAATATATGTGCAAATTTGGTTATAAGTGGCTAACTCTAACACTTTTTCTAAAGGAGGCAGAGTGTTTATGGGACGAAAGTTGAAGGATTCATTTGCTTTGTTAACTTTAGGCACAGGAAGTTGATCTCGAAAGTGCCCATTTAACAAGTATTGACAAAATCAAGAAGTACGTGACCTAGTACCGAGAAGATACTTTTGAGAACCTTGTTATTCATTATATAAGTGTTACACTTGCTATCTAAAACATGCCTGATGTTTCGTCTACTACTGCGGTAGACAATATCAAAGACGATGTGGTAATGGTCGAAGTGATCAAGTTGGTGCTCGGAATTGTTGTTTCCAACGCAGAAACGCTGGTATTTGAATCTGGTTTTATATTACTATTGGAGGGCATGGCTTGGTTTCTCTTAATTGAATTACCTGACCGGTCTTCCGATAGCCAGGCAGTTCGACATGGGTGCTTTATTTACTCACTCGAATTGACTGCCGTGTTGGTCAATGGTTCAAACCCTAGTCTGAACGATCAATTTTCACTTGCTATCGTCCAACCCGTGTTAGGAATCACACGTTAAAAGGTAAGACCTCGTTAATCCTTAGCTCGCACAAGTTTCGACTTGAGGGTTGTCGTTCGTGGTTAACGGAAAAACAGAATTTAAACAGATTTTTTTAAACCTTGTTTGTGTAGCATTGAGGACAGGTAGCCAGATTTTATTAATGTTCATTGCCTCTTCTTTTCTAATGAAATCATCCCTGTGGTTTTGAATTTCTATGGCCTCTCTATATACTCTTGGATATTAATTTTGAGTTTTATCAAGTATTTTCAGATGATATAATGTGAGTGCCTTCTTTGTTGAGAGCATGTTACAGCTGATTTGTCAGTTTGTCCGAGTCTACTCTGTCCTTTACTCAAATTGAATGTTAAAAAAGGATTCAACTGCCTACAAATCTATTCAAGATTGAGACAGAAGTTAAAAAAAATACTTACATTGCTTATTGAAGTGATGTGTAAGGTTGATAAGAACCTTCAAAGTGACCAAGAGTGCTTCTCTTATTATAGTACCTGTGGAGGTTTTATCTGTGATATCTGTTATGGGATACAGTGGAATTTCACCATCACAAAGTTTATAGAGATTTACCAAGGTGTCCAATGTGACCCCCTCATTATATTTCAAAATATAGTTTTGGTTTTCTTCATTGTTGTGAGTTACCTGAAAATTAAAAATATCAATTACGAATGTGCATCAAGAATTATATATCCAAAATTACATTTTCCAAGACTCTCAAACACCTGTCAACTTTTCTCAGTTTATCAAGAAGAGTGTCTGTCCAAGTAACTACGTAATCAGAAACTTGTCGGCAACACTCGTGGATTGTTTTCATGATATGTTCTAACCCACCAAGTTCTCTCAGTTCCTCCTTAAACCATTCACCAGCCCTTTTGGAAGTTAAACTTAGTAACGTTTCCATGGCAAGTTGACCAACCTAAAAAAAGTTCATTGTTAAATTACTGGTATTCAATTGACTTTATAAAAAAATTATCAATTCTAAACTCACAGTTATGGATTCCAGGTTGAGGTGTAGAGCATGTCCTTGACTTTGTATTTCCGCACATAACTCTCGAACTTTCTGTTTGTTTTTCTCGAGTTGTGCTGAACTCAAACCACATACATCTAATGCCTGCTGGTAACTGACATCAGATTCCAGAAGGTTCAACATTAACTCCAAGCAGTCCCTATCGAGATCCATATTTAGCCTATCCTGACTTAGCACAAACATAACTGTAGCCGTGCATAAGCCCAAACTCTGAAAATGAGGGAAATTATTATCACTGAAATTAAATGAATAAAAAACACTTTTGTCTAAATACCACTGTTAGATTTTATTTATAGGACCGGTTTCGGGTTTGGACCCGTTATCAAGTATAAAACTGAAATCTGATATATCTTTTATATTAGACTGTTCTGCAGCATACCTGGAAAGTCTAATATAAACGATATTTCAAACTTAAGATTTCAGTTTTATACTTGATAATGGAGTCAAACCCGAAACCGGTCCTATAAATAAAATCTAACAGTGGTATTTAGACAAAAGTGTTTTTTATGCATTTCATTTAAGTGATCATGAATTAACATAAAGTAAACAAGTCATCAATCACACATATTAGAAAATATTATCTTTTCAAATGATAAAATTTGATGGTTAAACCCAAATTTTATTTTCCAGTCCAGTGCAAAGGCAGTCAATGTTGTTCTAATCTGTTGAAGTTTGTCTTTGCAATAGACCAACAGATTTGAAACCTAAGAGAAGTTAAATGACTGCGGTAGTAAAATTGACAATGGTCTCATGGGAATAGGCCGGATTTCACCCCAAGACAACTTTGTAAAATAGCTCGGTTTGAATTTTTAAATTTTTTTTCCCTTTTTGATTATTTTTATAAAGTTTTTGTTATAACTGACATTATACTATTTCAAATACCAGTTTTGAAGCACATAGTATTAATTCAATTATATTTCAGATTACACTTTTCAAATTGACGTTCTTATACATTTACATTTTATACTTATTGTTTATATTTTTATATTTGTTCAATACAGACCCTATTGAGAACACTTTCCCCTCACCAGAACAAAAATGCTGTCTCTTGATGCGTGTTTTGCTAACCAAGTTAGCGTCATCATGAGATGACTAGTTTTAAGTCATCATAATTACACATACTCATCATCTCTTGATGGTGCATAAATTTCTGTATAGAATATAGTCACAAGCTAGTAAATTAACGATGTTGATCTCCTTTATCTCTTCTGTTAATTAACAATGTCGACCTCCTTTATCATTTCTGGGGCATGGACGTGGCAGGTTGAAGATCATGACAAGTGACTCATCATAAAATAGGGCTCAAATATCTACTGAAACCAATTTTGAAATTAGCAACATTTTAGTTGCCGAGCCTGATCTTAGTAATTTTTAATGACATTAATTTACCTTCTCTTACATTTCAAATCTGTTTTAAGCAATGGGTGTTTTAACATTCAACAAGAAACATTGTCAACCACATTCAATTAAGCATAGAAATCAATATAGGGATGAAACTGTCTTATCATAATTACACATACCTGATCTTTGGTGGCATCATGTAATGCTTTAAAAAATTTGGCAACCGTACCATGTGCCCTCACGTGCATTCTGAATGCTGGAACCATACACTTGGACGCCAGAGTTATTGCAGATAAACACCTGGTGCTGATAGGATTACTACTTTGCAAAGCATCAAGAATATATTCAACATCGTCATTAAATTCTTGAAATTCTCCAATTTCTTGAATTTGATGTGCTTTTTTGACATTCCTCACAACAGTATAATACTAAAAAATACAAGAAATAATATGAGATTACATTTCGCCTGGTCCTATATTGGTCAAAGGTACATCTTATTCTGATACCAGGTGTTTTCTCCTAATGGTATATTCAAATCTATACGACATGGCAACCCCGAGAATTTAGTAATAAATGATAAAAATTCTTTAACCATCTGGGGTACAAATATGTTATCAAACTTCAAAAATCTTTTTATCAATCATCAAAATGGTTTTGTCAAATCAAGTTACACAGAGTTAATAGCATTGTGGATATGTGAATCCTTTATCACTTTTGATACTGTTGGTGTGAATAAGAGCAAAGAAATAATTTAGGTGTATCAAAAATTCTTATAATAGAACTGAACAGTACGATTCCTCACAGAGTACTGTAAACTCTTCTGAACTATTATCATTCTGAAAGTCATTAAATTTTGAGCAATCTCTTCTTGTATAAATTATGGAAGTGATACAGAGTCAAAAGTTTAGTACTTACTTGATTGTCAGGGTCATATTCACAATAATATGTCACATGCATATGCAATAGAAACATTGTATTTGTTACTAGTATTCAGCATTCCAATATATATCTTTATTTGGAGATGGAAATGTAATATTCAACATTTAGGGATTTACAAAATTTCTGATACGGTTGATTCTTTTATGATTTCAATTCGTCTGCAAAACCCTTCCTCACACAATCTGCACTAGAATACTAACAAAGTTCAACATTCTCTTAACGTTGTTAGTTTATTCAATGTTAATCTTCAGAAAACAGTTTTAGTAGTTGATTTACTGACAAGATTCAACAGATTAAATATAAAAATATTCACTGTAAGCCTTCAACACGCTTCCTAGGAATATAAAACATTATCGGGAAAATAAAAGAGGATTACAATTGATTTAATAAATTAATTATTCAAAGAATCTTTCAGTAAAATATTTAAATCCAGTAGGTATAATGAATTTTAACCAACTTTACTTTTGATTTGAAACATTTCTAAAGGGTTTGATTTTCTTGTGAAACTGTTATGGTGTTCACAAATATCTGAATGTTTATATTTATAATTTGTCAAATGGATAACAATACGTATTTTTGTTTCAAACAATGAATCATGGTCCTGTCAATTTTTGGGTTTGTATAATTTGTTTGTTCTATGAATGACAATTTGTAAATATATTTCATTGTTTTATTTCATAATGATCTAAATATTCCAAGGTCGATTTTGCAGCAACATAACGGTAAACATATTCTGTAAATATTGTAAAAAAAAGGAGTGAAAAAAGTATTGTAACATGTAACGCAGTATTTCATAAAAGTTGTACTGCAAGAATTATTTGCTTGGGGAACTCTGAAAAGAAGTTGCAACAGTTATCAATGAGGATACACTACAAAAAATAAACTTTTGTCTATTTTCCACGATATTTCTTTATTGTTGACTAGTTTCGGCTATTGTAATAGCTATATGTAATAGCCGAAACTAGTCAACAATAAAGAAATATCATGGAAAATAGACAAAAGTGTGCTATTTGTAGTGTATCCTCAGTGAACATGAATTTCTACAAAATAAACAAGTCGTCAATCAAAGAAGTTATCAATGAGATGGATTAATTCTCAATAAAGAAAAATCTGTTTTTATCAACTTCAATTTGAGAAAAACCATACCCGTAGATTTCTATTTTTGTAATAACTTAAATGTTGACACCCATCTTGAATATATTTGCTCAAAATTCTTCGAATAAAGTCATGTCTGTATGAAAAAAAGTTAGTAAACTTATACTTTGCTTTGGCATACAATCATGTCCTATCTGGTCAACATTAACTATGATGAAAGTTATAATATTTTCAAAGGAAAACACTTATTAAAGGCCAGAGGTTCATATATTCTGAAATACGAAATTTTGTAAAAGGTCATATGGAAAAGTTAACAGTTTACCAACATGAATATGAAACAAGGGTTAATAGGCTAGAATTTCCAAAATTTAAAACATCAACACAAAAAAATGTACTCATTACAATTTCATTACCCTGTTTAACGCACTTCCTGGCTGTATCCAGAGAATCAGCTATTACTCCATGTGTTCAAATATGAAATAAGGACTTTTTATTAAAAAATAATTTTTATTCATATTTTGGATGTGTTCTATAATCCAAAAAATGATTTGAAATATTTTATATGTTCCTTTTAGAGTCAAAAGGTTTTATTTATATAACGTAATGTAGATGCAATAATATAGATGTATTTTAATAAATTGATAGATGTAGCCTACATTACGTTGTAGGACATCATCATGAAAAATGAGAAATAAATCTTTCTATGTTTTTATACCACTTGTATTTATAACTAAGGTTACTGCAGTTTCGTCCTACAAGGACATTTACTAACTAATACAATAAACTTGTATTTGTTTAAAATCGTCTTTGTAGGACGTCATTGTAGGACGAAACTACAAGTACAAATACAATTGGTACAATTCATTCTTAGTTCTGTTTGATATAACTAGAATTTTTGATAGTGACTTTTCATTAAATTTAAAATTCGATTTTTTTTTTCTTTGTTTTGTTTCTTATTTTCTTCTTTTGGAAGCATAATGTTAATTGATATTAACAGAAAATCTGACAGAAAAAGTATGCTTCAGTAATCAAACAGATGAGGTTAGATTACTTCAACTGAGAATTCTTTATCAATATTGGTGAAAATATCAATTCTTCTGATACTGTTGGGAGTAACCCTGGTGTCTTCAACCACCCTGTCGGTCAAATTATAGGTTAACATAACATTTTTACAAACTTGACTTTGTTGTCACTTTGATTAAATGTAATCTGAGTTTTAATCCCGACACATGTGCATTTAGACAAGTATTTACTCCCTACCTTAAGCGTGATCTGTATGTGCTGATTATATATGTTTTTTGCGATAATATTTCAAATCCAGCAAACTCAGCAGTTTGTTCTGTGCAAAAATGAGACAAGTCTATACTTTTCAATTTCAGATTCAAGTCATCTCTCTGTGTCCTCAAAAATGAAATGATGTGAGGCTAAAATTTGGAATTATAACACTTTTTACTTATGTTTCATCAACCCATGTTTCAGTGATCAGGATAAGATCGATATCAGTTTCTGACAAGAAATGCTCTAACTCACCGAACTTATTACTAAAGCTCTGAATGTTAATATAGAACATTTTATAAACTTCTTTCGAATTTATGTTCATAGTCATTCTATTTGAATTGGGCTTTGATGCTTTATTAGTTGTTTCTAAGGGCCCATCATTGGGGTTTCTTATGATAGTAGTGGGTATAAAAAACAGTTGCTTTCTTTTTCCCTACAAGTAATGTAATTGATTTCTTGTAGCTCACATGCTAAAGGTTTAGGTTGGATTTTTAAATTCTCATAGGCGATTCCCATTTCTTGCTGTGAAACAGCTTTTACACAAAAACGATTTTCCTTTTTTTGATAAAGTGGAACAAATTCTGAGTTAATTTGATTTCTTCAGGTAGTTAAATTGCATTCAAAGATACAAGAGCTATGATTGTTGTTTTTTCAGCTGTAGGTTGCCTTGGTATATTAATTTATTGATTCCCGTAATATCATATCTGTAGGGTTCCGTCATAATTATAAAATGTGTGTGCATTAAGTCTAATATAAATTTCCTTATATGAATCTTGAGAAGTTTGGAATTGAGTAAAAACTTAGAAGATTTTTTGTTTGTATTGTTTATCATTGTATTGTCAAACATGTTACATACATAATTGAAAAACCTTTAAATTAGGATGTCACTGGACTATTATTTCCATTTGAAATTTTTGACATGATGATTGTTAGCAAAGAGCTGACAAAGAATTGAATTCTACGTAGAGAAATGATTCTCCCTGAAAACCAAAGTTGATGTGTTTCACACATTTTTTATAGTCTCAAAATCATCCTGACTTATTTAAGGTAGCTTATTTTAACTGGAATGAATTGTATGAATTTCTCCATAAATTTATAAACATAAATAGGACTCTGGCAAGTTACCAGAACAATTTTAATTTTATTGTTCAATTCAAATATCAATAGAACAGTAATTGCGTCATCCACAAATAATATCAACAAATCATTTATATTCAAATTTGAAATAGAATTTATTCAATTGAAAAAAAGGAGTTGGCAAATATGAATTGAAATTATCTTCTAGGTAAATAATGTGCAAATATGTAAAAAATGAATTCCAAATACCAATTTACTTAAATTTTTCAATTGATATGTTATGATTTATAACATAAGAAGCTTTAGTGATAAAAGCCTGCATTTTAGTAACTTTGAGACTTTGTCAAGAAAATCTTCTAAAGACAGTAAACTATATTTTGATTGATTGATACACAGTATTACTATACTAGACCTCGGAAAGTCATCACAAAGAAATGTATAAGAAATTTATTTTTTTCTGAATATTGCAATAGCCTTTCTTGTAAATAATCCTACTATAAACTAATAAATCCAAAGTGCTTACCCCTTTATCAGACTTGCTACATTTAACACTTGTTATTTCTTGCTCATCAACTTCATTTGTTACTCTTTCTAAAGGATCATCTTTGAAAACAAATCCGTCATCATTCGTATTTGGGGATTTATTTATCGAGGTATCACCCTCCTCATTAGCTTTACTCGGTTCCTTGGCATCATCCTTATTATCATCAGTCCATTTATGCTTGTATAAAGCTCTACGTTTCTTACTTCCACTGTCATCAACTAGTGTTCGACTTTTGAAAATGCTTCCCTTTTTCTTAGAGATGACCAGTTTTACAGGAGGGGCTTGCTCAGGAGGCTTTTCTAATATTTTATCCATAATTTCATCTTTATGTTCCGATATTTGGTTTACAGTGTAACTTGGATCGGGAAGTATCTGTTTCACTTCTAACTCGAGAGTTGTGCTATTGGAATCAGTGTCTGTGGACCACTCTTCATCTATTGTGGGGTTTCGAGGAAGTTCTGTTTCTCTTTCAGGTTCCACTTGCGGACTGGGCATGCTAGGCTCTTCTACTTCATTTTCCTCATCTGCCTGCTCTTCTATTCCCTCTTCCTCTTCAGGAACTGGATCTTCTGGAATGGTTTCAGATGGTGCTGGAATCGGCTCAATCTCCATGTCCACTTCCTTCTCTTCACTTTCCTCCTGTTTACTTTCAATCTTCATTTCCTCTTTCACCTCTTCTTTTGGTAATTCCTCACTAGATTGTTCCTTGGAAATGATATTTTCACTAATTTCTAAATTTGGTTCCACAATATTCTCATCTTTGGGAGAACTCGGCCTCAATAAGTTATCGTACATTGCCTTCCGCTCTAACTCATATTTCTCAGCAGGAATATATTGTGGCGATAAATTACTTTCTTCTCTCGGGCTAGTAAATAATGAAAATTCTGCGGGCGTATCTGCAGTAGCTGGTGAGCTACTTGGATCCTGCTGCATACTACGCCTGGCTGATCTCGTGATTCTACAATTTGACGGCCTAGAAGTATCTCTTAAAGCTCTGGGGGAGGTTGTATTTGAGGTCGAAGGTGTGCTAGAAGGTGTAGGTGTACTTTCAGATTCATCAGAATCATTTAACAACTGTGATTTTCCTCTACATATTCTTAATACTATTGGTGGTTTTGGAGGTTCATTATTCTTACTCTTATTTACATTTGAACTTAGAACAGTCTTCTCTGAAGTGGTGCTTTTGGACGAGAAAAACTTACGAGGTGAAGAGGCTCTTGTAGTCCTATCACTGGGCTCATAAGTTATCTTGGATTTTTTAGGAGGTGTATAACTTGGGGGAGACCTGGAATATGATGGACTCAAATCAGGTGGGTCAGTGTTTCGGCTTTTGAAAAATTTTTTTGGTTTTGGAGCTGCATCAGTCACAGGAGCTGAAGAATCATTTTCAGAACGGGACAAACCTGAAATGGAATGTTCAGAACACATATACTTCACTGTAAAATCCACTAACCGTTCAAAGTACGAATGGACGTAAATGAGGTTATTCCCCATTTCCCTACAGTTGCTGCAGATCGAGCAGCTGAAGGTCTGTTGCTATTTTCCTTGAATAAACTATCAAAATGGAAACTAGGGTGAGATCCACCACCTCGGCGATATTTCCCATAACCTCGGGACATTTTCAAGTGTGCACTGAAATTTTAGGGTCTACTGTAGTTGAATTATAGTTGACAAAAGCCATGTTAGACACTGGTTTTCGGATAAAGGTACTTCATGAACAGCACATGGCGCATTTCTTCATTGAGAAAATATTCATATTCTGTAATTGTTTCTGGTAAAAATTGATTCAAACATCGCCATTTTTTAAAGACCACCAGTTCAATGAAATTTTCTTTAGGTTTTTTTCCGCAAACGCATCAATTGCTGAAAATTGACAAGCAATATTTACTCATTTTTATTGTATATTCCTGAAATATAATTTGTTTTCTAACACAATTCAATTTCTCATTTGTCAAAGACAGTTTCACACATAAACACGCCAGTAAAAGTAAATAACTCCTACGAGTTTGCTACGATCTACGATTGTCAAGAGCAGGTGTGTTCGTTTAATACAAATCTGAGCTTTACTTGGCGCGTTTCGCTCGCTCGGCAAGCGTTCGATAATGCGGATCTGTCATCTCATATAAAAAAAACTCTAGTTCGTTGGTAACCAATCCTGATGTACAATTATTTCAAAAGTTGTACTTTTTCAATATTGGTAATTACACAATTTGAAATTTCGTCAGAGCAACACTGGTAGGCAAAGTGGCAAAGTATTGCACTAAAAACTAACAACACACAGAACAGTTATTTACTTGATATGTCATTTTTCACAGACTTCCATGATCATAAGATGGATAACATCAACTTCACTTGCACAAGTTAAAAAATTTGTTTAAAATATGTTTTTACGTTAACCAGCTGTCGCACTCCTACGAACGACAACCCTCAGAAGTCGAAACTTGTGCGAGCTAAGGATTAACGAGATCTTACCTTTTGACGTGAGATCATGACGAAAATATTAACAAAATTTATTGAAAAATGATAAAATTTAGCTTTTCAATTCCGTTCACACTCTTTATACAAACATTATTCGAATGCAACTAAACTGAGACATGAAATGAGCTAGAATTCAATGTATGGTTGAGTATGTATTGTCTTCATTAAACGATAGTAAAACCCACTATCTTGCTTACTCGATAATATCAGCAAATATACCTAATTCCTCCAATATTAAAGTTCCAGGTATGAGGACGGAAATCAAGTATTTCGGCATAATTATTGATAATACTTTCAAAGTGGAACAATCATGTTAATTATCTGACAAAAAAGTGAGGAAGCTAATATATAAATTTTATCAGCTACGAAAGTTTATATCGAAAAATGTACTCATATTAATTTACAAGTCTCTAACAGAATCACTTTTTCTTTATGGTATTCTGGTGTGGGAGGCAATGTATAAGAGTTCCTTGCAAAAACTGAACGTCATACAGAACTATATTCTGAAAATAATCTTGAAGAAAAAAAGATCATATCACACTAATCTTATATATTCAGAAGATCTTACTAATTTTCGAACATTATACTTTCATAGNGAAAAAGCCCCGCACGGCTGAATCTAAGGCATCGTCAGGTGTAACTGACGTGCAAAAACCCTCATATGGGAAGGTTGTCGTGGGTATCTTGCAACTTGACTATCCGACTACCTCATTAACACAGCATATATTTTGTGCCTGCCCCGCTGGGAACCGAATCAGGTCTTTAGAGTTCGGCAGAGCCGTACTCTCACCATCTGACCTGAAAGACCACTCACCATACAAACTAATCGGCTTCGTTAAGTAGCTGGGTTCATTTGGCCGAGTGTGAATAGGTGTGAACCACAATAAACCCTTGCGGGTTGCGATGGAGATTATGGGCTTTATATCTGGCCCTTCGTTAGTATTTTTAATTCTTATTTTCTGTATTTTTGTCTATCAATTAAATTAAATGAAATTAAATTTCAACACTAAAAAATCAATAAAGCGTTTACTATGTACAATTTTATTGAAATAAATACATTATTAAATAAAAAACTAATAATCAGCCGCAGTGTTGGCCAAATAATCTCTTCTACCAATATTTGATGCCTGTTTATTCTGCAGCGCCTCCAACTTAGGACAATCCGTAATCCTGTGTCCCAATCCACCACAATAACTACAACCATGTTCCCCTCCCAGCGCAAGATACTTTTCGCTTTCCGAACAAAGCTCTCCAAGAAATGCGGGCACTTTCTGCTTGGCTTCCATCAGCAGGTGCTTCAGATCCAGTAGAACAGATTCATCATTCGATTTGTTTATAAAGGTCGTTGCCAATCCTTTATTGCCAGACCTACCAGTACGACCTATTCGATGGACATAATTTTCCACATCGTCAGGCATATCATAATTAATTACATGCTGGATATCAGGAAAATCCAATCCTTTGGAGGCCACATCTGTTGCAACGAGGACATCCTTTTCTTGCCTTCGGAATGCTTCTACGGATCGTGACCGCTCCTCCTGGTCCTTTCCCCCGTGGATAGCTACGGCTTCCACACCTATAATAATAAATTATGCTTAACTGTCAAAAAAACTAGAACTGTTGACCATGGTGAGAAAATTATCTGTAGGCTATAAAGCATAGATGACATATTCACAAAATTCCATATGCAGCTTATTTGTCAAATACTCAAATACTTTGGTTCAATTTTATTCTAAAACACTTTACAAACTTTGTGTAACCTGTGAAAACTAACTTCAGAGCTGTTTCAAAGCTCTCTTGGTTGCAAAGTTACAAGTTATCATTTTTATTAGTCTCTAATTCATACACCAATAACTTCGCAAACATTGAAGGTCATTGTATAGAGAGTTGAAATACATTTCGAGTGAGGGTATAAGAGCTCCTTTTCTATTTGGAAAAAAAAAAGTTGATAGCCCTCTTTTTGAGGCGAGTCATGTTACACCATTCGGATTTTTATATAAAAAAATACAAAAAATCCTTTTTTTTTTCATACAATTTTGTCCGACATGAACCAATAAACATCGCATGTCATGTAAATGATGATCCTGTGATATACACAACGGCTGTAAAACCAGTAATTGTGTAACGAAACACATTTTAAAGAAAATCAATTTTGGAAATTCTATAATTATTATCATGGATAACTGAAAAAGGGTTTGGAGTTAATTTGGATGAGCAGTTGAGATTTGTAGAAAACATAAATAACATAATCATGATATCATTTACAGTGCTTCGTAAGGTTCGACGTAATGAACCTTTTTCCTGAAGTACGAAAAATCACTCACTAGCAGCGCTAGTAGTTCGGTAGGGACAAACACTGCCTAATCCTCATATAAACATATGGTAAATTACAAATAAAAAAGAATGTTTTTAACAGGACAAGATGTTCCTGGAGCAAAATTAAAATTTGCAACTGTNTTGTATTGTTTTCCTCCTTACTCGGCATGAAAACTCAATCCTTGGCATGCCTCATATAAGAGTTTGAAATTGTTTTCTGAGGAATTTTGTTTCATTCACCATGAACAGCAAGATTTTGTAGAACAATCTGTTGAGACCTAATATGCTGAAAGATAACTTTTATTTTTGTAATGAGTGTTAATTCAAGCTACAGCTTCCAGAAATGATCTATACCTTTTGGACCAATTGATAGAAACATAATTCAAAAACACTGAAAAGAAGTTTACCCAACTGGTTGATGAAAAAATAATTTATACCATTTGAATGCTGGTAAAATTTACATGTGTTGTGAATAGAACCAAATATATTCTAAGTCATGTCATCAAATTATTCTATATAATGAAAAAAAAAATGCAATCGGATTTATATGGTGTTAAAAGTTATGAAGTTTGAAAAAATATCAAAATTTCAGTTGAACAGAGTTGGACAATTCGAACGGCTCGAAAGCAGTAAAAAACCTACCTTTGAGGAGCAGGTATTCATGTATAGCATCGACATCCTGCTTTTTCTCAGCAAAAATCAGGACAGGTGGGGGAGTTTTTTGTAGACATTCCAGTAAGTACACTATTTTGGCTTCCTGCTTAACATACTCCACCTCCTGGATGACATTCATAGAAGCAGCTCCGGCTCTCCCAACGTTGATAGTTATTGGCTTCACCAATGCTGACCTAGCAAAATTTTGAATTTTTTTAGGCATAGTCGCAGAGAACAGTAGAGTTTGTCTCTGGCCATTGAAGTATGAAAAAATAGTCCTAACGTCCTCCTCAAAACCCAAATCAATCATTCGGTCCGCTTCATCCATACACAAATATCTGCAGACAGTTAATTTCACAATCTTTTTCTCCAGCATATCCATCAACCTACCGGGAGTGGCTACCATGATGTGAATACCCTTTTGGATTATTTCAAGGGACTCCGTTACGGGTACCCCTCCAATCGCGAGACAACTCCTAATCTCTGACATGCCGTGTTTACGCAAGCTCAAGCAAAAGTGCTGTATGATATCGAAAGTCTGCTTGGCTAACTCTCTCGAAGGGCAAATTATGAGTCCGTAAGGGCCTTCATTTCTTATGAAAGGCATTTTTATCTCTTGTTCTAGGCAGAACATTATTAGGGGCAAGACGAACACTAGCGTCTTCCCTGATCCAGTAAAGGCAATGCCTATCATGTCACGTCCCGATAGCACTGTGGGAATTCCTTGAATCTGTATAGGCGTAGGGTTTTTTATTTGTTTTTCCTTCAAACCGGCAATCAACCCTTCGTGCAGTTTCATCCCCTTGAATGTTTTTATCGGAGGAGGGATGTCTTCCCCTTCTACGAGGATCCGTAACTCGCTTCTTAGCTTTTCATGTCTGCTCAGAGGCATTTGGAGAATATATCGCGGGGGATGCCAGCTGGTCTTGATGGGTTCACTATATTGAATGCCCTTCGCGAGTTCAGAAACCCCCATTAGAGCTTTTTTTTCAGCAACTATTTCCAGGATTTCCTCCTCCTTCTTGAGTTGCCTTTCTACCGCGCTTACTTTTTTTGCCTCAGCTAACTTTCTCAGTTCGGTGTGTTGGTCCAGAAGAGGGATATTGTTTTTTCGTCCCCACATTTCGTCTTCCTCGTCATCTTCGTTGGTTTCGTTTTCACTGGATGATTTCGGTTTTACTAGTTCAGCTTCTTTCAGCTGCCCGAGTCTGCCTAGTTTGAGCAATTGTTGCCTTTTTCTTTCTTTTACAGACACGTATGGAACGTAGTTTTCATCGTCTGAATCACTGTTCTCTTCCTCTTTTCGGTATCGCTTTATAGGGGGTTCCACCTCCATTGTAAACAAAAAGAAAATTCAGATTTGCTATTTATTATTTTGATGTTTTGCATATAAGGAGTCGAAGAAGCATTCTAACCAGTGTTGTTATTTAGGAATTTTTAATTGTGCCCAAACCCAAAATAGAGGAAAAATAGTTCCTATAAAAACACTTATCATTACTTCCCATACTGTGACAATACTCAATCGGGTAATACTCTGAATTCTAACCTAATCTAACATTTGTCACAGAACTTTCGCGCATGTGCAGTTTCCATTTCTACTATCCACTATTAGATAATATGTTTATTACGTTATTACGCCGAAATAGAATCTATTACAACTTCATAATTTACCAAAAAATCGAAAACAAAAGTCTTTTTCTACACCCGTACTCTAACAATACACTTATCTGTTTTTGATTAACGGAAAGGGGGTAGGTATAAGGGGGGGCAGGAGGATGACTGTTTTGTGGAGCCTAATAAGATATTCGGTCCGTGTTTACAGGGCCGACTATGATGAATCCTAATTAGAAGAAATATTCATGGACACCTCCCGCGAACGTAGCAAACGCATTCCACTTTTTCAGGGGGATTCAGGCCCCGCCATCAGCTTGCACAAGTGGTTTGTTGCTCTGATGATTTCCGTCAAGTTAACCAAAGGAAGTAATTGGTTGCTTCCACGAGGCTCTGTTGGGCTCCAATCGTGGGCCTTATGCTATTCTATAATCACTCTCCTTATACAAGTGGAGGAGTGGGGAGCGGTGGCGAACCAATAGCAGGTTGGTCCGGTTGGTGGGAATTTCTGCCAGAGGCCCTGCCACAGTATATACAGGTAATATGCTGTGGCCTGCTTTATTTTGTGTGCGAAAGCACACATAATAAAGAATTCGTGAAATTCTCTCTTTTAGGTTTTTCATTTAGGGCCCCATAATGGAGGAATTGGAGGAAAAACTGGAATATTTGGAAAAGGAGAACCACAGACTTCGTCAACAAAAAGACGAACCAACAAGCCTGGTCAAGCAACTGAATGACAGGCTAAATCATGTAGAAGGAATACTCGTCCAAAGAACAAGGACGAATTCAGGACCATCCACGGCGCAAACAGGCGCAAAGATCGAGAAAAAACCGGACAAACCAAGACAAGGAGGAAACGCGACAATCCAAGAGGCCACGTGGCCCGGATAGCGCATCGAACTCCGACTCAGAAGAAGACGGGTTGTACTGGTAGAAAAAGCCAGACCCAACAAAAAAACCAGGAAGAGACAAGCCCAAGAGAAAGCCGAGAAATTGGCAAGACAAGAGGCGGAAAAACAGATTAGCGAGGACATGGAAACTGACAACGTAACACAGACAAACAACTCAGAGGGGAAAGCCACTGAAGAAGTGGGACCAACCGCAAGAGAGAGAGAAGTTGCGACAAACCCGGAGAAAGATCCGACAAAGGTGCCACCGATAGTCGTTCACGACAGTAAAAGGTGGAATGAGATCTCTAAAGGTCTTGAAGACAGAAATATCGGCTATCATAAAGCAAGGTTGACCAGAGATGGAATTTACATCCACGCGAACAATGAGGAGGAGTGGCGTAAAGCCACTCGATACATGGAAGAAAGGAAGATAGACTTCCATACATACTCCATAAAAAAAGAGATCCCGCTACACGCAGTGATTCGCGGGATCCCCGAGAACGTGACGGCGGAGGACGTCACAAGCGACCTAAAAGCACAGGGATACACTGTGATCGAATGTTACAGGATTACATTCAGGCGCACCAGGACGACGCTACCGCTTTTCCTGATAAAAGTACCGAAAAGCGAAGAACGGATCTACGCACTGAGAACGTGCGTGAACCTCATAGTGAGGGCAGAACCCCAAAGGATAAACAGGGGGCTGATACAACAATGTCACAAATGCCAATTATTTGGACATGCACAGAGATGCTACCACTCAACGGCACACTGTGTAAAATGTGCTGAAAACTACGAGAGTAGAGAATGTAAAAAACCAAAAGAGGTACCAGCAAAATGCGCTAACTGCTTAGAAGCGCATCCAGCAAGCTACAGGGGATGTAAAATGTTCCCGAAACCGAGGACAACAGCCTGGAACAGGCCCAGAGAAGCAAACAGAGGCCCAAACAACAGCAGCCATCTGCCAATAAGAAGACACCGCCAAAAAAGAAAACGGACAGTGGCAATGAGCTATTCAAAGTGCTGACCAAACTCACGACAGCAGCAAAAGATCGCGCAAGCGGTCTTAGCTGCCCGAATACAGGCTCCTAGACAACAGTAATGCCAGCACGAGTCCCGGAAAGACTATTAGTAGGATCATGGAACATAAACAGTTCCATAGACAAGCGGAACGAGCTACTGGAGCTGCTATCGCGTCTAGACATAGACGTCATGGCACTTCAGGAGACAAGATTAAGAAGCGAAAAGAGCTACCGAATCCCAGGATATAATATAAGACCGAGAGGCCAGGGGGGCGCCGTGCCGCAGAGGGGGCGGCGCTACTAGTAAAAACAGATCTAACACAAAACGAAGATAGAAAACCAGAAGTCCAACACGGAGAAGCAGTAGCAGTCGGAGTCAAACTGAGAAGCTACGAGCAGCTGAGAATATCGTCGGTATACCTGCCTCCGCTAGGTATAAGACTAGAAAGAACCGACATGGCAGAAATGTTCCCAGACCACCACCCAACAGTTGCCATTGGCGACTTCAACGCAAAGTCGCGAGACTGGAACTGTTAGGTATGGAAATAAGAAAGGCAGAGAACTAGGAAGAATCCAAGAAGAATTGGAGGATATCGCGGTAGTAGCACCGAATACCCCAACATATTACGTGCGAGAAGATCAAGTCCCGGACATTCTCGACATCGCACTGGTGCACGGAGATGGAAGTACTAGACGAAGGTTCGTCAAACCTCAACCCCATTCTTTTCACAATAGGAAGAGGTGAAGTGGAAACAGACAACTCAACAAAGCGAGTCATCGATTGGATAAGATTCCAGCGCGCCATACACGATGCGATGGGTGAGATACCACGCATCGAAACAACAACGGATCTGGAGAACGCCACAGAACAGCTGCAGCAGGCGATCATCCACACAATGGAAAGAATTAAGCGCACGGGAAGTCCCAGCCCCACGTTTCAACTTCCAAGAACAGGTCCCACCAGAAACGATGGAACTGGTCAGGATAAGAAGACGCCTGAAAAGACGGTACCAAAGGACTCGCGCGCCTATGGACAAAAGGTGCATGCAAAGAGCCAACAGGATACTGAAAGAAGAATTGAAAGAAATCCGAGAAAGACAACGGACTACTCGTCTGGAAGAACTGAACACTGAAGACCAGTCTGCACGGAGAATGCAGAAAGTACTCAGGAAAGGACCTCGACAGCCATGCCCGCCAATACACGGCGAGCAAGGAATCGTCTACACTGATCAGGAGAAGGCGGAAGCATTCGCGAACAACTTCGAAAGGCAGTGCAGAGAAAACGACGTCCCGTTCACGGACGAAGTAGACGAAATAGAGAGACAGGTGGAAAGAACGGTACGAAGACTAAAACGACCCATGGACAACGCGTAACCCCTGGCCTCGCCATCTCCCGAGGAAGTGAAAGACATCCTAAGACGTCTTAACACTCGGAAAGCACCAGGCCTGCACAACATAACAAACCGGGCGCTGAAAGTACTACCGCGGAAGGGTATAGCAGTCATAACTAACATAATAAACGCTATACTAAGATTGCAGCACTTCCCGTACCAGTTCAAAGAGGCAACGGTTATCCACATCCCGAAGCCCAAGAAGAACCACCTGTTCCCAAACAATCACAGGCCAATAAGCTTACTACCTTCCACAAACAAAGTGGCGGAACGTGCCATCTTGAAGAGACTCGAAGATCAAACTAGAGAGCTAGGAATCCTCTCGGATGAACAATTCGGTTTTGGATCAGAACACTCGACAGAGCTACAAGTCCTGAGGGTAGTAGACTTTGCGACCAAAGGCTTCTAAGACGTCTCCAAGGCGTTCGACAGAGTTTGGCATCAAGGACTACCGGCCAAAATGAGCGATTTCGGATATTTAAAACCAATGGTAAGATTAATTCAGTCTTTTCTAGCTGACAGGCGATGCCGATGCAGAGTAGGAGACGAACTATCAACAATTCGACTACTGGAAGCAGGGGTCCCGCAAGGAGCAGTCCTTTCGCCGCACCTCTTCTCCGTATACACAGTGGACGTGCCCAAGCCGGAGAACAACTTTAACAAGTTGGTGCTCTATGCAGACGACACGCCCTGCTGGCGAGATCCACGAGCCAAGCGCATGTTACAAGATATTTGCAGCAACAGGCAGACATATCAGAGGAGTGGGCCAACCTGTGGAAGATCAGTATAACCCCTGACAAGAGTCAGGCGATACTGTTCACTCGCAGGTTTGTACAACCGGAAGGCAACGTCAACTTCAACGGACAAGATATTCCGTGGACCAACAAAGTGACATACTTGGGGGTCATCTTAGACAGGAGATTAACATTTCAGTCTCATGTACGGCAAATAATTGGACGCAGAAGCAACATGGGGTTGGTAGTGAAGTTGTTAATTATCAAAACCGCCCTTATGCCCATAATACTGTATGCCTGCACTGCCTGGGGCCAGTGCGCGCAGACATACAGGAAGAAGATACAGTCGTTTATGAACGCGAGCGTAAGGGCCGCCGTAAACGCACCGTACTATATCCCCAATATATACATATACAGAGACTTAGACCTGGACACGCAATATGTGGACGTGTATATGAGAGAACACGCAGAAAGCGTGTTCGATACAATCAGATCGCACAACAACCCAGCGCTACGCGATCAACACGATGCGTTGAACATGGATGACCCCAGATTCCGAGAAAGCAACAAACACTCAAGGCCGACAAAGCAGAATTTACGACTGCCCCCCACGAGTCGCCGTCAGGCGACTCCGGTAAGCATACTAATCAGACTTTCTTTCAGCAAGTTCACTGCAGAGCAACTCGACCGCGATTCAATTATCCTTAGATTCACTGAGGAACGCCCGACGTTAATAACAATAGCCGCCGGTTAGTTTTTGGGGGCCCTATGCAAAAATTCATTTAGGAATAGTCATGACAAAACATTTTTACTGATGGCGAAATAATAGCACTGAAAGGCTGATTTTCGACCAAAGGAGGTCAGATGTCAATCTTGCTGAAGTGCCCATCAGTAAGTTGAGGATCGCTCGGAGAGTGGGGGTGGATGGAATGGGATAGTAGGTTCTCCTCGCTAACTAACTGGGGGGGGAAGCTTCTACTTCAGGGCACTCAACCCGGGAGGGGGTATGGGGGGGCTGCTTTCCCAGGCCACAGTATATTACATAGGTTGTGACAAAGACTACACCATGTACTTTTTGACAGGGAACGCGAGTTTCTTATTTGCTGATCTACAGGCAGATTGATACGATTCTATCAAAATAAAGTTTTCCTGGGGAAAAGATTTTGCTACGGTTACGGAATTTCTTCATTGATTTTTTATCGAATTTGAATTTTTGTTGGTTTAGGTGAATTTTTTATTGCTTTATTTTGTGGTAATGAAACTTATATTTAGTATATTATTGTTATATTGGCAAATTGCAGATGACAGTCGCAAAGATCCGCGGAATCGCAGAAAGGTATGTTCTGTTCGCAGAAAGTCAGTCAGAAAACAAGAAGTCATAGTCGTACAAATAATAATTGCTCAATAAAAAGGTTTCAATATTTTTTCAACGGTTTAAAGAAAATGAATAATTTGAAAGACCTTGGAAATGTAGAGATAAACAATTACAAGTATAAGTCTTAATAGTCTATCCAGCTTCCTAATTATAGGATAAGATAACAATTCTAAGAATTCTGAAATCCGAGGTTATAATAGATATGAGGTTACCACGTTTTGCAGTAATTAGAAGAGCTTTGTCATACACAATAAAGTCAATAGAAAGTATGCAAGTCGAACATACTGAAAATTATCAGGTACATACTTGAATGTTTTTAAATGCTCAGTAATTGCAATATTTTTGTAGAGTGCTATCAAAGCCCTGAATGGCTTGCAGACAAACGCTCAGTATATTAAAAATGCGGCCAATAAACCGAATATTGCTTCCAAAGTCCAAGAAGTTGCAAAATTTTTGAAAAGGTGAGTAGTTTGAAAAAATAACCAATTTGATTTCAATTATTGTCACACATATACAAGACAATCTGACTCATAATCTAGCATTTCCACTATTAAATTTTCAAATATTGGGTTGGAGAAAGTCAGTGAAGACAAGTTTTTTCAAGTTGAATAGTCCTGAAAAATGTTTGAGCAGACCCAGGACTAATTCACTTTCCAAAGAAACTTCTTACAGTTGTCAATTAAATCAGTTCAATATTTCATGAAGTTTCATTTGTAGAACTGAAAAAATCACGCATATATTCAAATTTTACTCAGAATTTTTTTCCCATATTTATACATCAATGTATACTTCTCTTATATGAATTCTTACAACCTAAAAAGTTATAGCTTGCAATTTGACACTGAATTCACCTTTAGGAAAATTGTTAAAGCATTTTCAGTGAAATGAAATATTCACTTTCTATTATATTGTTAAATGCTTATGATTGGTGTGAAAATTCAGAGTGTTAATGTTTCTGCTTTGCTGAAGACTTTAAACTATATGCAAGAAAAAATAACATGCAAACTGTACAGAACTTCAGTCACAGTAAAACTTACTGCCACTAATGAATCAAATTTGAATATAAAGAATTGTGAAGTAATGAAACACAGACTAAGGAGTTACTTTAGAGCATTACGTTGCTTTGGTGTAGTATTCAATAGTAAACTGATCTTTGTAGACCACATTTCACTGAATTGAGTTATTTGAGGTTGTCAGGATAAGTTGTCTGAAGTTCTCTCAGGATTTATAGAGAGGTATTGTAAAAATTTCAACAATCTAAATCAATGAAGTTGCTCTATGTTTCTTATATTCATTGACAATTGGAGTGGGCAAGTATTGTGTGAAATCTCATATACTGAGTGTTGATAGGAATCACACGTTAAAAGGTCAGACCTCTTTAGTCCTCGAGAGATTCTAGTTATGGTGAATTGTTTTCATCTAAAATTGCTAAATAATATGGTGGATGGCTCTATCTATCTTCTTTTATCAGTGAAGTTAAATGTTCCATGCTCTATATCACTAACCACTCTCACTTTCAGATATTTATATAGAAGAAAAAATATTCCTTAAAATTACATAGTTAGATTGAAGAAAAAAATTTGGTTAAATAAAAAAAACACTTGAAAATTTTAAATTATGCTTGGGATACTATTTTCTTCAAATATACTACTTAGAGTTGTTAAAAAATTTTCATTTGCCTTTCTCACTTTTTTTGTAGGTCTGGTGTGTCATTGGAGCAGCTAGATAAACTGTCAGTCATCCATGTTACAGGAACCAATGGCAAAGGAACTACTTGTGCCTACTGTGAAAGTATTCTTCGCAATCATGGCTATAAAACAGGATTTTTTTCATCTCCACACCTTTTGGATGTTCGTGAAAGAATTAGAATTGATGGAAAACCAATTTCAAAATCTATGTTTGCCAAGTACTTTTGGAAAATCTATCCTTTACTGGATAAGCAAAAGGTAATGAGCTTGCACCATAACAATAGAAAGGGGTAATGAGCTCTTACATTTTTTTGATCTAATGATTAAGATACAAACGCATATTACCTTACCAAAGTATATTAGACTATTTCGAATTTTATTACTTATTTACTGTAAAATAAAATTAAAAACAGTTTGTCTTAAAAAAATTAAAAAAAAATTCAACTATGTGTTTTTTATGTGAATATCCAAATTGAAGTATTTTATAATGTACAGTCAAGAAATATTGAATTATTGTATTTGATTTAGGTACAAAAAACTTGAAATAAATTTGTATAAATGCATACTTACAAGCATAAGTAATGCATTTGTTTATTTATTTTTGCCTATATACTGATCTTAAGATCTTCTAATCCCAATTGGTTACTGTAACATTTTTCGGTGTAGCGTTGACGTACACCTGTTTTACTCTTCAAGCAATGCCCTGAGCCATAGTATTCAATAAAATTTGAAATGAGTATGTCAGTTTTGAAAATTATTTCCAGTACCACATATACTTTTATTGACACTATTGAAAAAATATTGGAAATACCCTGTTTTATTTTTTTTGTGGAAAGAAAGGTTTTGGCTTTCTACCACTCCATCTTGATACAAAAAATGTGGGAATCTCCAAAAGAAAGGAAGGAAGTAATCAAGATAGAGAAGTAGAAAGAGAAAACCTTTCCCAAAAAATTAATCTCTCCTAAAAATATACCCTTTCAATTTAAACCCTGTATTAACTTATACACATCATCAAAGTTGTAGTTGTAGAAAAAAAAATAAAATTGTTATTTATATTTACTTTCTCATTTGTAAAAGATTTATATATTGTAATTTGAATAAATTCAGTTAATTTCTGTTTGATATCTACAGTGACATCTACATTTTTATTACCATTCATATATAAAGTGGTCAAATAAATTAATGTACTCTACTCTACTCGACTCTAACAAAGTTGATAGTCTGAAACATTATAAGCCTAGTGGTATAAATGGAATAATAATGCATTTGATCTGGAATCTTGCTGTGAAAAATAAATCTCATATCAGAATTTTCATACCAGTGTTTGTTGATTTATTGAAGAAAGTGATATTAATCATCTCTCCTAGTGAACCTCATCATGTGAAAAATTGTAATTCTTACAAAGACATTTGGGATACACTTGAAAGGATTTATAGTAGTTACTGTCCTGCCTGTAGAGCTTCCTTTCTCAAATGATTAGTATAATCTAAATTGAAGGAAAACAGAAATGTTCAAGATCTAAATATCTATATGGATACCGTTAACAAACTAAATGAACTTAGAAACCGTCATGATGTTATATAGTCTTCCACGAAGTTTTGAGACATTTAGAGTAGCAATTGAAACTTGTGATAATCTACCGAAACCTGAAAACCTCAGAGTAAAAATCATTGAGGAAAACTAAACTAGAAGCATATCAAATTCTCATTCAAACATGAAAATGGACCCTGAAGGAGCTCTTTATTCAAATTCAAGATTCCGTTGATCATCAAAACAAAATGGAAGTTACAACAAAAAACAAAAATCAAGGAAGGAAATAATTCAAGATTTGAATTTCGCTATCATGGATGTAATACGCCATAGAAGAAAAGTGAATTTACCTTCAACGCTGAATGTCAAACAGTGAACAATTTTCAAATCATCCTTTAAGATCTAAAAGACCCCCCTTCATGAACCAATGATTATTTACATGGGTGATGATTATGAATTTCTCTCAACTGTTGATGAAGAAATACAAGGAAGAAAGCCAAAGGAATGGAAGGATGTAATAGAAACTGAAATAAAATCACTCTTGAAAAATGAAACTTGGAAAGTTATAGACACAAGGATGGTTTCAATAGAAAAATATAAGGCAAACGGCGAACTATAAAGAAAAAAAGCGATACTAGTTGCAAGAGGATTTAAACAAGGGCCTTGCCTGGATTACGTCAATACATATTCTCCTATAGCTATACATATATAGATGTATAGATAAGCCTGAAGAAGTTATTGTATAGCGAAACACGTTTAGTGAAATTCTCATAATATAGTGTTTCTTGAATACGTTATGGATTTTCATCATGTATCGGTCGATTCCATCACATATATTCAGAAAGAGAGAGAGAGAGAGAAGTTCTTTTATTAAACCAAGAGAATAAACATTTCATGGAGGTTCACCCACTTTAACGAAAACAATTATGTGAAACAACAGAAATATTATGCCTAAAGGCATAAATTATGAAATACTTTCATTCAAATATTCCATCTCAAGTTATTCTTCAGAAGCCAGAGTGATAATTATGTATTATAAAATGTATCATCGAGATTCAAAATTAGTAAATTGATGGAAAATTATACTTGGTAAACCAATCAGTAAATTTATGTGTGGTTGCAGGGAACACTTTGTCAAAGATGAGTTTATAAAATTATGTGTATTTATTTTAGAAAGTATAGCTAAGAAGTTGAAAAGACTGATGAAAGAGTTATTAACTGATTAGTGAAAGCCTAATGTGACGATAGCTTGTATCAAAGTGCTTCATAGTTGCACACACAATCGGTGGAGGTACCAGAGTTATACCTTTTTTTGTGAGAACATTTCAATGAAGAACTTCATAGGCAGGAAGTCAAATCTTCAACCTCACAAAAATAGTATTCTAGTAATATCTTCCAAATAACTTATTTTCTCCAATAATACTTTCGTCACAGATATTTTGAATTTCTGTTAAAATAACAGGTGTAATAGTTTGTAGAAATTTCAAAACTTGTTTTCCTTGAGTTTTGTACCAAATGTACCAAATTGGACCAAATTGATGGATGAAATGTTCGTTGGGAAAATTATTTTCACAGTTATACTATGTGGAAAAGATAACTTCAATAGATTCAGTTTAAAATTCTTCAAATTTACGTAAGAACTCAAATGAAGAAAATTCATGAAAGAAACATTTATTGAATTTACTTCTCCTGTGATGAAATTTACAGGAATTGAACTTTAAATTGCAAACAAGATGTCTATATTCCGCCTTGTGCTTTCTCCATAAACTAATAAATGGACAAATATCTTGCCCAGATTTACTGGAGTATATAAATTTCTATGTACAATAAAAAATCTCGGGCAGAATTATTTGTTCAAGTTAGGCTTTCATTCCACAAATTATGGTGAGAATTCTGTAAAGTGAATTTAAACAATGTATTACCAGGTTGGTGTTATTTAAAGATCTTATAATAAACAGACTATGTGATGGAATCAGCCAATACTTAATGAAAATCCATAAAGTATCCAAAAAACATTTTATTGTGAGATTTTCACTAAACAGCTTCTTCAGGTGTATCGTTACTATCCCGAAAAGGCTACTGTATAGTGAAACAAGTGTTGCATTTTTGTAAAACTGTTTAGTGTAAATTTCATAATTAAGTGTTTCTTGAATATTTGAACAGGCTATCCGTAGTTGAAAATTTTGAAATTTCAGGGTAGGTAAAGTTTGAATACCTAATTGCATTGAAATAATTTCATCATGATGATATTTGAAATTGCAGGTAACTAAAAAAGACAATCGTTGAAAAATTCTCAATTTATCAATAGTAATACCACAAGATCTCAAAATTTTCTATTTTTGAAATGGTTGAAATTAATAAGTCTTCTGATTGTATGAATGAGAAAACTGACATTGATAATCTCAGCAGTATATACAGTAACTTACTGGAACTACACCAACTCTCTCTTTAGAGTCAAAGTTTATCAAATCATCATGCCCATTGAAAAATGACATTTATATGAAGGTATGACATTTGTCAAATCAAAAAAAATCCTATATTACCTTCCTTTCGTCAATTTATATGTTCAATTCATTTTTTTTCACTCATTTTTACTCTAAGTATGTTATTCAATGGCAAAAAAATCTACAACTCAATAAATTATGGGTCCTGAAGAAGCTTCCCATTAGAAGTGAAACCTTGGCAAAGTAGAGCAGAGTTTTGATTTTTTGACTGAGAGACCCCGTTAATCCATATATTCTGACACCATGTATCCCAATTCTGAAACAGTATATTTCATATTTTATCTTGCCCTTCAATTATAGTTTAACTATAATATAATGAAACTCATTTATACATGATTCGCTTTGTTAACAAGTTTATACTTTGGACAATAAAGCATATTTGACTTGACTTGACTTGACTATTTGGTTTTTAAAAACTGAGAAATATTTTATTTGTCAAAGAAATACTGCTGTTGTGGGTATCACCCCTTTAGATATGGATCATACTTCATTGTTGGGAAATTCTTTGGAATCTATTGCATGGAATAAAAGTGGTATAATGAAAGAAGGATGTCTGGCTTTCTCCACTAAACAGCCGCCAAACGTGTTACAAGTATTTCAGGATCGAAGTTTAGAACGAAAAGTAATAAACTGATATTTTTTTATTAAAACAGATAATTGAAAATCTATATATTTTTAGTGCTCTTTTAAAATTGTGGAAGAAAACAGTTATTTGGAGGATAACTCATATATGCCCCCACATGTTCGGAGAACAAATGCCAGCTTAGCTCTAGCGTTAACTGAAGCTTTTATGAGTAGAGGTTGGTCAATTTTGATTTTTTGTTGATTTTTCATGTTTTGTTTTATAAGTGTAACATTACAATCACCTAAAAATATGAGTGCTTTTCTCAGAACTAGTTTTGTACTATAAATTGTGAAATTTTTTAGACAAAAGTAAGAAGAAAAAATTTTCACTGGAACTAGCAAAACAATCCATAGAAGAAACTCGATGGCCTGGGAGATATGAAATCAAACATTTCAAAGGCTTTAGGTATGTCTAGTCTATCTATCTCGAGAATCGATAATGTTTCAATCATAAAATCTACCATCCAATTCATAATTTTAGATTTTACCTGGACGGCGCTCATACTTTCGACAGTATTTGTGTTTGTAGAGATTGGTTTGATTCTCACACCAGTATACGTAATGTGAAGAAATGTCTTATATTCAATATTACTGGGGAACGTGACCCGGAAATGTTTTTCAAGGAGTTGGGCAAATGTGAATTTGATGCTGTTATTTTCATACCAAATGTAGGAGGCGAAAATGATAGATCAGGTAACTCAGTTTTCAAAAATATTATTATGTCTCTGTGGGTATGCTTAACCAAATCCAACTACTTTTTTTATTATAATGATGTGACGCTACAATATATTGTTGTAACATTGTATTTTATTCATATAACATCGTCTCAAGTAAGTAGCCTGTCTTATGCTGTCAAAATCAGGTGTAAAGATCATTACCATTGTAGCAGACTAGTAGTTGGCTCCGCGGAGTTATTGAGCTTCTAGTTTCCGTGGCTTTACTAACTTCTCCATTCAGTCGCCGGTAATCTGTAGACATTTCCTCATGAAATCATGAACTTTCTCCTCGTTTTATAGTTTCTTCAACAAACTCGTAGGCTTCACCCAGTAGTGTACCTCTCGTACTCGTTTTCGAGTCCTATTGACGTCAAAGTGTGATCTGATACAATCAGTAGATACAATTTTGCCTCATCAGGGATTTTCCACTTGTGATTTGATAGGTTATCACGAAGGCCATCTCACCAAGCCTAGAATTCTCTGACAGCTATACCGTACAACAAGCCAGCTCTCAATCAGCTTCAGATCACCATCTTTCTTCTGACTTGTTCAGTTCATCGGAGGTCCATATTCCACATTCTGCGATCGTCCCTGTTCAATGCATCGTGGAGATCACTCAGGGTTAGGGTGAGTTCAAATTTGCTAAGATGTTCTCGTCGTGATTTTTCAGGAGGACCTCCACGTACTGGGTGTAAAGATCCAGATCTTGGCAGATGCATCTTTTGGGCGTGTCATGTATCAGTTGGACGTCATATATGTAGGAGATATCTTGCTTCGTTTGTTGTCCACAGAATGTCCTTTTCATTGAACTCGACGTGTTCTTCAGTTTGCGCCACCCTACAGGTGATCAGTATTGGCTGAATCTTGTCGAGGTTTATGTAAGTCTTCCAGAGATTGGCCGACTCCTCTATTCTGTCCGCCTGTTTTTGCAGACACCCTGTGAGTATCGCATGGCTGGTAGATTTGGTCAGGATAGTTGTGTCGTCTGTGTAGAGAAACAACTTATTGAGGTTGTTTTTTGGCTTCGGCACGTCTGCCGTGTACACAGAGAAGAGGTATAAGAAGTCGCCTGGCGGAGAGTTCTTGGTCTTACTCTACATTCAGCCAGAAAAGAATTGATTAGTCTCATCTGCCATTTTGGCCACGAATCTGTCGTACCAGACCCTGTTGAACACCTTGGAAATGTTGATGAATATCTCTACAGTGAAACCCAGGTTGAAACCTTTAATTGCATAGTCGACCACTCTCAGGACAGGACTTTCAACTTGAATCCAAACTGCTAGTCCAGTAGGATGTTCACTTCTGTTCTGGGTTCCAAATCGTTTCAGGATGATAAGTTCCACTACTTTGCTTATCGAAGGGGTCAAGCTTTATTGTCTGATTATTGTCGGGGTGGGAATATGGGAAGTGTTGCAGTTGATGGCGTTGTTAATGTTCATCATCGTCGCTATTCCATTCTTGGGAGAGCTTTCAGTGTCTGTTTTGAGATTTGGTAAGGGCCTGAGCCTTTCCGGATAGCGAGCTTTCTTGTTCTAATTGTTTTAACATAGTCTCTTGTTCTTTTATTCTTTTGATGCCTTGTTGCTTTTCTGTAAAATTTCCTGGTCGACTGTTCCCTCTTTTTTGTTTGGTAATTTTTTCACCTATTCTTGTAGTTTTTTGTGCTTGGTCGTACCTGAATGTTTGCCAAAAACTCTATTATAACACCTTTCACCGTCATTTCGTAATTATTTGCTGGTGTGTTTACTGTACCCCCTTCACTTTCCCTTCTTCAGTACTTCTACTTATTTCAGCACTGTGACCTATGTTACGTCTATGGGGGCTCTTGATAATGGGTGGTATGCTAAATCAAATTAAACTATCTCATTTAATGAACTTCACTTTACAATTGTTGCACTTATTTCACTTTTTTACTAATCGCTTGTTTTGATCGGCTCTTGGTACTAATCTACGAACTTATCTCACTCGATGTGCCCATATTTATAGTCAGAATAAACATTCCAGTAACTTCGTCAGTGATTCAAACCTCTGGTTTATTCGTTTAAGTTCGCCTAACACTTCAGAGTGCTGCGTCCAGTGGCATGAATACGCAACAACTGCGGCATTACAATATCTATCATTAATAATGATAATTGCAGGTTCATCTCGACTAATCATTCGAAAACAAAATTTAATTTAAGCTAACTGCATGGGCGCCCTCTTTTATTTTTTTATATTTGATACTAATTTATTCAAGATACAGCCGACTTCAAGCTACCAGAAGACAAGCAATTGCAACGTTGCGAAGCTTACCGATTGAAGTGGCTGACCCTGGAGGAATTGTTTGAAAAAAGATCGGAAACTGTCTGTGTTAAGCCTAGCTTCTCAAAAGCTGTAGAATTTCTAGAAATTAGTTATAATGACTGTGATATTTTAGTAACAGGATCTATTCATTTGATTGGAGCAGCTCTTTCAGTTCTTGATCCTACTCTCAATGGTGCATTAAATGAGTGATACCATTGTTGTTTATGGTTTTTTTATAGAAATATTTGAAAATAAATTGAAGAGAAAAGAATGTTTGTTCAGAGACAGTATTCTTTATACATAATTCACATAACTTTAATACATTTGTTTTTCTTTATCTTCTTATAAGTTGAGAAAATGTATTACTGAAATGGAATATTTTGTAAGTCAATATAGAGGGTGATCATTTTTTCTATTCTTGCCATTTGGTTCTTGCATGTCGTAGCGGAAAGAATTTTGGAGATATCCAGAATATTTCATAAAGTTGTCAAAGAAAAATTTCAATATGAAGATCAAATAAGGTTTGTTTTACATTTCTTAAAAAAATTCATCAAACGTTTAGTGGAAACAAAGTGAAAAAGATCCTACTTCTGAAAGTAATGGAAACATGAATTCTATATCTATATGCCTGTTATATAATGAAAATATTAAAGAATTTGTGAAAGCCTTTAGTGAATTAAATTTAATACTGAATACCGGTATTAGTATTCTTCCATATTATTAGTACTTGCTCGAACTATCTTTGGAGACTGCTGAAGGTAGTTCAGAAGTTTGAATGAATAAAAATGATTTGCTACATTTAAAATTTTTTTGACTGAGATTGTAGATTAGCTTTTGCCAAATATTTCATTTCATATTTTCTAACTGCTACATTTTGCGAGTTCTTAATTGTGAGGAACATTGAACAAGGAGACTTTCTGTACGACAGTGGTTCACTTCAATTAATCACAGAACTCATTAAACGTTGGTGTATGTATTTTTCCAAATGTTTAGTTTACTTCGTTACTAATTGATTTCTTAACATGAATTTGTCAGTCTCTTTCATAAACCCATAAAAAGAAATGCAATTTTTTTTTATTTCACCTTAGAAAAGTAGTTGAGAGTATTGGTGCTACTCCAAGGAAAATTAGGACATTTTCAGCCATTACCTGTTACTTGCAGAGTAAGTATTCTTCATTTGAGTTAGCGTCGTGATGACAGCTCTCTACTGACCTACCCATGTTATTGAAGTGGAGTCCTAGTTTCACTTCCACAGGTAATTATAAAAGCTGTTTAACATCAGCTGGGATGCTCTGGATTTTCATTCCAATGGTATCACAATTGGTCCAACTAGATTGGCATTTCTGTTTTTTCACTCCTTTGGGATAAAAAAACTTTTTGAAATTGATTAGATGAAAAGGAAAATTACTAAATTTACACATACATGCGTTGGAATAAAAATTCACGTGAGAATGTATCCAACTTTTTGTTAACAGTTTTTATTATATATTTTGTAAGTATACATAAAACATTGTATAAAGGCAAATTTTATAATAAGTATTACCGATAAGTTGGATAAAACCGGACGATATTTTTATTCAAACGCAGTAACATTTCTGGGCAAATTTAGTAATTGTCTCTTCTTATTTAATTGACTTTGAAACATTTTTTGATTCCGTGGAAGTGAACACCCATAAATGCCAGGAATAACTCGCGGATCTCCTCAAATAAGATTCAAACAATATTTGGAATGTTTCTTTCCTGTTAGTGACATTCTTTGATTTCAAACGGATGACAAGAGGCATGTCAGCTGAAATGGCACATTTGAAAGATGATTACATGTCAGAAAATTATTTAAAAGTTTTTGAGTGGGGTCAGTGCTAAAGTCAGTCTGTTGCTGTGAATCTACTAAACGTATAATAATAAAAGGTAATAGGAGTTTTTCTTGAAATACACATTTAGAATAATATTATTGTTTTGGCTACATCAGAAGCTATCTGTTTTGAATGAAACAAATACAATATTTTATATTTAATTAACGAAATATAGTGCAAAATACATTGTATATATTTTTTATACTAAGTATTGTAAATATTTTTTCACTACAACATGTTAGAATTTCTCTATTGATGCCTTCAGTTATTTGAATGATTCAGTAGGTGAGTTAATAGGTGTAGCAGCATATATATAGTGTTTTTATAAAATATGTATTGGTGAATATTGTATCCCATAGGGATAAGTTGATGATGATTATCACTGTATTGTTTTTGACTTGTCGATGAATGTAAGGATAGGAAACCTTTGGTCTTAGATTTTGACAAGTTCACAAATCAAAGGATTAATTGATATTATTCAGATTTTATGACAGAAGGGAAAGTAAGAAAAGAAGTATAGTTAATCTGAAGAGAACACTTTTTCCACATCAGGTCTCTCGATCTACAGAGATACAAATACTTAGTCTATACTTTCTGATGATGCTGAATCACTTAGCGAAACGCGCGTTGTTCTGGTGAGTGCATGTTACGTCAAAGGTTCCCATTCTACCTCTCAAAGTACAGCTGACAAAAATTTCAGGCTTGAGAACCCTCTATTTTGTGTTTAGAGTTGTTCAGTAATAACTCAACCACCTTGACAAAAGTGGAGGAGGACCAGTATAAGAAAATCAGGAAACCGTGAAAGATACAAAGTCAATTGAATAAGGAAAATTGTCTTAATATAGAGCTTTTCTGAATGAATTTAGGAAATTTTGACTTTATTTAAGATAATATTAGAAACCAATGGACACTTTCTCATTGCCACTTTTCAATATGTACAGGTTGACGTTCATAGATATTTAATTTGACGTTTCGTCGCCAAGAAATCATAACCAATTTTATTTTTTATATAAACCAGTAAAAAAATCAATCAGTATAAGTTTGCCTTCTTGGCGACAACATCACTGATATATCACTATAATCGTTTGATTAGTTAATTCTGCAACATTGAAATAATCTCAAAATGATCAACCTTTTCCCATTTTACCCGACTTGAGGTTTCCGAATTTTGCATGCTGGTCCTCCTAATCTTGCATACATTGTATATTTTTCTTTCTATTTCATAAAAAACAAAATGTGAAATTTAACTTATGTTGTCCAAGTGTTACCAAGTTCTAGTTGGTCTTCCACCTAACCTTTAAACCTCTACACGGGGTCTAATATTTTGTAAAAACAAGAGAAACCAACGTAGATGTTTCAAAATTGATACCAAAAATTATATTATAATATGTATGCTTATTCTCGAATTTCACTGAATGTGCGAATAATTCACATGTGGTAGAGTTCTCAACTGATAATTAGTTCAAATTCTTCAGAATATTCCTGTGCAGAGAATATAAAGGTTTTGAAAATTTTGCTGGATATGAATTTTAATATTCAATCCTTCATTGTTGATCCAGACACCATCTAATAATAACGTGCCTGGAAGTGATTCCTTGTGACATTTTATGAAGACGATGTGCAGAACTCCTCAGTTTCAGAGATAACAGAGTGACTGACGGAAGTCGAAATGAAAATCAACATTTCTGTAGATATCGGTAATATAAAGTCAATTTTATGAGCATAGTTATCAATACGAAGTCAGTAGTGTATGAATGGGGGTTAGGGAATATATTTCAATGAGGAATCAACTTCCTTCATGATATTTGGAATTTTTTCAGTAAGCTTATTTATTCCATTCCACTCATTTTCAAATTGAAGTATTTTTTTTAATTCCGTTTCTAAATACTAAAAAATCATATTGCGTGTAGGGGAGACCGGGGTTGGGAGTCACATTATTTTTTTTTTCTCCAACATCATCCATAGAGGAAATATAACAATTCTTATGGAAAAGAAAAAGTGTGACTTTTAACCCCGGGCCGGGGATGGTTGTCACAGTATCTGGGGCAGGTAGTCACATAGGTAATTAAGGGGTTTAAAAAACATTCAAATGAATATTTTCTTTGAAAGTGGAATAATTTAACTAATTAATTATATCCAAAAAGAGAAAACAGTGTCTCATTTGTAGGAAAAAAACATTTTTGCTCCAAATAAATAACTTCCTTCTGGTAACTAAAATACCAAAAATATCCATCAGGCCGCAATGCTTGTAAACTGAAAATACTCATCCTAGCGAAATTATATTTAGTCAGTCTAAAATTCAGTGAATATTCGAAATCACAATTATGGTAAATGTAACCTGGTAGCCTGGTATGGCAAATGTAATCTGGTATATTTAACGTTTTTATGTAGAACTAGAAACAGAGTCTGACCCTATTTTGAAGAATATCCTCACAATAATCAATATGGCCTCAGTTATTCTTTTGAAGCTATTCACATAGAAACTTACATAGAGAATCCTAGCAAGTTGAGTCTGGTACCTTGCTGATAACTTATGAATGTTACCCCTTACGCATACCATGCGTATTCAAATTTCTTACTCCCTTTCTTATATTAGGGAGATATCAAAATATGGTAGATTTTCACTGAAGTTATATTTCAAAAATCTCCAGAATATTGTATTATTCCAAATATCATGAAAAATGAGGAAAGGAAAAGGGGGTTATCAAAATAACTGAGTTTTTAAATATTGAAAAAATGCAATATCTCAGAATTATCTGCATTGAGGCATGGAAATGAAAAAGAATTTAAAAACATAACTTGAACAGTGTTACATTGTTCAAGAACATTGTGTATTTTGAAATAATTTCTAATCAACAACGTGTTGAATAAAATTACTGGAAACATGATTCGTCTAAAATCTTCTCTTGGAAAGATCTGTGTGGGAGAGTCGTGAGTAATTTTTTTCTGACACCATTCGATGACGAACGGAGATTGAGATTGAAAGTGAAAACTTTACTGTTTTCCATTTCATTTTCACGTTATCATTTTTGATTTGATGTAGTGGTGAATTAGTATCTCCACATTGGTCGAGGACTTTCAACAGCTTTTTTTCTTCTTGAGATTGAGATTGAAAGTAAAAATTTTACTGTTTACCATTTCATTTTCACGTAATCATTTTTGATTTGATGTAGTGGTGAATTAGTATCTCCACATTGGTCGAGGACTTTCAACAGCTTTTTTTCTTCTCAGGGACCCACTTCGAGAAAACGTGCCGGAAGTAAAAGTTACTTCTTCTTCTTGTACAGTGTTCAATATTCTGGGAGTATTCGAGGTCGCCGCTGGTGTCTCAATAATTTCTTCCTTTATTTGGACCTTTTTTCTCTGAAAAAATATTTCGTTTCAAATTATATTAACTAGCATAGTTGGGATTTCTACACACTCTGAAGTTTATTGATTTCATTGATAGAAACAAATGAAATTATATATTCAAACATTAGGATTTCTTTGGAAAACTGCAAGATGCTTCCGTATTCACAGGACTACGGTTTCCAATTTTTGAAAGTAAAACCCTATATATTTTTCCATTTTTGGATTTTCCAGACAATTTTGGATCAGAATGTGACGCTTATTTAGTTTTTTTTAGAGTCACAAAGTTAGTGCTTCAACAAATCCTGTCAATTTTCTATATCACGGCTATAATTTCCACTCCCGATTGAGACATAACTGTGAAATATATCTTTTTATCAGAAGCGATCTGTCATGTCATCCAGAGGAAATGCTGAAACACCAAAACTTTGATGTTATGTGGTTTAAAATAATATCACAGAAGATCACCAAATTAATATGTTGTGTTTATCGACCAATTAGCGATATATAATATAGGGAACTATTCTTTTCACTTGCAAACACTTGCAGTAACTTTCTGCAAATCAATCATTCCAGTATCGAAATTTCCATATTCGGTGACTTCAATGTCCAAAATATAGAATGGCTAAAATTTTCAAATATGAACGACGAACAAGGTCACGGAGCTGAGGCTTTTGCAATCAGCAGTGTACTTACTTAGATTATAAATATGAGCCAACCAGGATTCTTGACCGTGATGGAAAATATGCTAGTCTTCTGGATCTATACCATTTGTATCTTCTAACCACAAACGCATGTCAGTGTTGAGTGGATTACCGATAAATGTTGGGAATAAGCAATGAACTTTACAATCAGAGAATTAGGGATAAACTCCCAATCCCAACGGGTTAAGATACTTCTGGTCGGTAGCTAAAGCTGTTGATCAGAACTTTACAAAATCCATTATTCCACCACTAACACTAGCGGATGGTTCAATTGCAATAACAGCCATAGAAAAAAGCAAATCTACTAGCTGAACAATTTGCGTCCCACTCCACAGACGATTTTCTGGTTAAGGCACCACCCACTATTCCCACACTAGAATCCACAATGACGGAATTACTTTTCGACAGAGTCTAGTCAGGCGAATTTTGAAACAGCTCAATATTAACAAGGAGTCTGGTGCTGATGAAATGTCCATCATCGTACTTGAAAAGTGCGCAAATGTACTCGCACCAGTATTTTGCAAACTTTTCAACCTGTCTTACAAGAAAATAATTTTTCTTTATTGTTGGAAGATTGCTCACGTTCAGCCTATTCCCAAAAAAGGCAAGAAAAATCTTTCAAAGAACTATAGACTAGTCGCTTTTCTATCAGTGATATCAAAAATCATGGAGGAAGTCGTTAACCACCATATCCTCAAATATTTGGAAGGCTCGACATCTTGAGTGATCATCAATATGGCTTTCGTAAACGAAAATCAACAGGCGACCTTCTGTCGTATGTCACCCATATTTGGAATAACACAATCCAGAAACATGGAGATTCAAGAGCTGTTGCGCTTGATATTTCTAAGGCCTTTGAACATGTGTGGCATGAGAGTTTGCTGGCCAAAATTCAATGTTGTGGCTTGTCAGATCATTTTTGTGCATGGCTTTCCAGCTTCCTGAAAGTACGTTCCCTGCAAGTGGCCGTTGATGGATATATTTAGAATTATTTCACCATTAACGCTGGTGTTCTCCAGGGATCCATATTATATCAACGACTTATTGGAAAAAACCAAGAATCCAATATATTGCTTTGCTGACGACACGACACTTGTCTCGTCATTACATTTGGATTCCAGGATGCACATCTTACTGGCAGCAGGAGGTTGTTTATTTTATTGAGGAACTAGAAGTAATTTCAAAATGGGGTGAAAATAACCATGTTTAATTCAATGCCACAAAAACACAGGCATCGGTTTTCTCCAAAAAGATAAATGTCTCTGAACCGAATAAAATAATGTCAGGTCAGACAATTCCGCTTTCTGCTTCGCCCCCAAACATACCCTAAAGCTGCTGGATTCATCCAGAAACGCCATCCGCCTGATTGAGACGCCAATATCACTTGTAACCTTGATAGTCTGGAACATCGAAGAAAGGTTGGAGATCTGTCTCTCTTCTATAGATACTTTCACGGGAAGTGTTCAAGTGACTTGGCACATTTGATTCCACCAAGAGCGGTACATATCAGAAATTCGCGACGGACTGTGGCTGCTCACAGTTTTGAGGTTTAACTCAGTTCACCTCGAACTTCCATGAGAACATTTTTCCAAATGAATTTAATCTTCAGCGATTCAAAACCAACGTGAATCGCCACTTTCGCACAGGCACCGCTCTAAAAGCGTCTTAGGGATTTTCCGGTAGTTCTTGTGTTTTGACCATGAAAAAAAAATTAACATACTAAACTGAAAAAACAACTAACAAAATACAACTCAGCATCATTCATTGAATTTTTTTGACTTTCTACAAATATTAATAACATTCACTTTTCATTTGAAATATACATTATTTCCAAAAAAATAAATAATAGTTATACGAGCAATCTATACGAAGTCAATCCGAATAGCTAAATGAAAGACTGATAAATTTACTAGTTAATACCATATAAAACCTCCCACATAAAAATCATGATTAGACCTCGTAATTATACCACGCCGCTCATGCCATACAAAGAAGCTGCCGACGTACTGTAACTATTTAGTTTTTATGCCATTCGAATTGACTTCCTATATATTATACATGATTTTTTAGAAAAAATAAATTAACAATTTTCAATCCTGGTAGTATTGCATACTTAATTGCCTTTGGACAGATATTCAGTGATATGTGAACTTGTTATTTAAGATGAAAATGTGTGATATTTGTTATCATCATATATACTTTATTGCCATGAAGAAAATTTACATCTCAAAGGCAAATTGAATAATTTTCTGATTGATTCGGCCGTTACTTGATGAAGATCCATAGTAATTTCAAAAACTACACCTCACGATTTGATCTCTACAAACGATTTGATATCCACAAACCAAAGTTTGTGGAGATCAAATCGTGAGATGTAGTTTTTGAAAAGTGGATAATATAATATATCACTAGTTGTCATGACGAATAATTGAAAACCAAATACATAACATGAGTACAAAAATAACTATCAAATGAAGAATATTAGGTCAGAATGTATGATAAAAAATTCAAAAATGCTCTTAAAATTTATCAATAGTAATAACACAAGATCTCAAAATTTCCTTTTTCTTGAAATGGTTGAAATTAATGAGTCTTCTGATTGTATGAATAAGAAAACTGACATCGATAATCTCATCAGTATATACAGTAACTTACTGAAACTACACCAAAAAACATAATGATAATAATGAAAATTGTATCAATCAACTCTCTCTTTAGAGTCAAAGTTTATCAAATCATCATGCCCATTGAAAAATTACATTTACATGAAGGTATGACATTTGTCAAATCAAAAAAAATCTTATATTACCTTTCTTTCGTCAATTTATATGTTCAATTAATTTTTTTTCACTCATTTTTCCTGTAAGTATGATTTGTAATGTTATTCAATGGCAAAAAAATCCACAACTCAATAAATTATGGGTCCTGAAGAAGTTTCCCATTAGAAGTGAAACCTTGGCAAAGTAGAGCAGAGTTTTGATAGTAAGGCCTCGCGGCGCCAGGCTTTCCTCAGCTCTAGACCGGAGCTATTTACTGTGAAAGTTGAGTGTCACAGGAAATTGAAAAATATGCAAAACTTTTCCCTTAATATACCATTTATCAGTAACAAATATCATTTTGATATCTCTGATATTCTAGAAGTTATGTCTTGACATCCCGTATCCGCATGGATCTTTCTAAAATGATTTTGTTGATTTGAATTGAATAGGTATAATTAATTGAAACTGTAATTTTTTGAATATAAAATTTTCTGGTCCCAAAGAAATCGGCCAGAAATTCTAACAATTATTAGATATTTTTAATATAGAACTTTTCTGAATGAATNAAGAATAAATTCACTAATAAATCCATTTCTGAGTATCTAAGAATCACAGCTTTGGTGCTTCACCCAAATGGTATCATACGTCTTGAAGTCAATGTATACTTATAAAGTAAAATAGTTGTATAAATATTTTTAATTATTTTGGTCATATGTCTAGGTATCACAACACCAAAACTAAATTGTATTACTTTTTTCTTATGTGTCTATACATCCATTGTAATACAACAAAAAGAAAAACAAAATGAAAATCTAAGCCAACAGTGTTGTTAGTGAATTTACTGTTTATCTCATTACTTTTACAGATTTACTTCAAGGATCTGTTACTTCAAAGTGCATGCTACATTTTTTATTACTTTACTGGACATGCGATAGTTTTAGTAAATTTTCTTAGGGTTAGGTAGGTATACATAATTAAGAATTTCCAACGATTGGTTTTTCAAAACTGGTAACCTTCGAGTCCTTCGAGTACAAGTCAACCTTACTAATGAATATTTCAATGTTCCTGGTTCAAATTTTCATCAGCAGTTGGAAGTTTCTCCGGTTGAGATGGAAGCGAAGTCTGATGAAAGAGAAACAAACATGAGATAATGGATAAAAATATATGCAACGACTTTTTACTATATTTACGGTACTGTCAATTATGCTTAAGATTGAGAACTCACAATTTTCATATTTTGTGAAATTCAATGAATGGATGGATATCAATAATGTTTTCTAATAGCAATATTATTAAAATAAACATATCCAGACTTTTTAAGTACTGAAGAAGAGCAGTATTACGTTGTATTTTGATTTTTTGAGTTATATATACAAGCAGAGAACTCAAATGCATAAGTAACATTGGTAAATAGCGGTAGAATAAATATTGGTAGCGAAGAATGAAGATTAAAGCGGTTTTAGTGTGTGAAAATAATTAGGACGATACGGAGAGAGTCTAACAAATACAAAGTGAAATATTTGAGATGAAAGATAAAATCAAAGGAGTTCGAGATGAAGAGATAACATGGAGGTTTCGATACCACTAATTTTCCTTTAGATAATTTCAACCTTGGCCGCTATTTTCCTTAGTTTTCTAGTAGTTGTGGGGATGGAATCGGCCGCGGATAAGGCTTTTTTGTCGTGGGTTCTAGGGGGACAACAATGGTTTATGAGGTTCAACGAAATCGACGCTAACGACGAAGACGTCTTAACTTACAAGGGTCGTTACGGAACGGCGTTCGTCAGAAAACAGTAGTCTTGTTTTCGTATTCTGTTATTGGTTCGTTTTATTGTTGGTTCGTTTTGATAACACATTGGATGAGCGGAATATATGATTACTGAATATATCGAAGGGAAGTACTAGACAGCACGGTAAAACAAGGACACTACGAGAACCATGATTTAAAATTTATTAATTCTATTAACGAGGAAAAGTGCATACGCCTTCATTGAATACCAGGAGTATTCATATTTCATTTTCACATTCTTCTACTTTATTGTATTTGTGATTTAATTTCTTGGCATGATCAGAAGTTGGTAGAGTTACAAAAGTACGGTAAGGCAGAGATTATAAAATATAATATCGAACCGAGTGGGTAATTATTCTAATTTTGAAGCAAATAAACATTGGAGAGAATGAATCGTTATTGCTCGAATAGCTGAACTACAGGAATTTTGATAGTTTTTGTTTGATATTACTTGTTCAGGGGAATAATTTCAGTTATTTTATACATTCAGATATTTTTTGCTTCATATACTGGTTTCCTATAATTTTAGTATTCTATCTCTTTCCTTTGTTTTTGTTTTAATTTATCTTGAACCTTGGTCTTCAATTTTTCTTCAATTTGAGAAAACGAAAGTAGTGAAGTCATCTGACTAATAGCGGTTGGTGACACGAAGGTTTTTTTTTGGAGTATTCTTCAGGCGAAGATACGGCAAGCATATTCGTAGCAGAAACTTTGTTATTCGATACTATTATTTTTTCCTTAAAAGGTTATGTCGGTCGGACCTTATCCCTGAAGCTCGCGACACATTCGGCGGGCGGCATCACTGAAACAAACTATTTACACACTTTTTCCACACCGCAATAAAATGCTGTCTCCCGAGGCGCGTTTTCCACACCATCTTTTGATGATTATGGGGTGGGAAAAGTGTTTAATAGATTCATTTCACACCAGACGTTCCAATTCTACCTATTAAACCAAAAATCACTTCCTATACCGTAAGGTAAGTGATCATCGTGTTCAAGAATCTGTACCCAGAGCCAAGAATGGCACCTTCTGCATTTGTTCTGCCAACATTTCTGCGTTTCTATGTAAAACCTGAATTACTTTGATATTCGAGAGTAGAGAGGACATTATGTCATCGAGGACTACAATAATCAGAACAACCATTTCAACAGAGTGGTCTGGATATAGTCTGCGGAGTTAAAAAAAATCGATATTCTATCCGTTTCTCTTCCTCATTCCGGAGAATATTCGCCTCACCCTCACACCAATATGTCTTGGCACAATAATGTCGCTGGAATTACTAAGGCTGCTTCTCAAAAGGCTGGAACACTGTTCCGAATCAGAAAACTGTACACACCCCAGCAACTTTTGATGCTTTATAAAGCTCAGATCAGACCTTCTTTGGAGTATGGTTCTCATGTATGGTGCTCCTCCCCTAAGCATACCCTGAAGCTGCTGAATTCCATCCAGAAAGAACGTCACTTGCAACCTTGACAGTCTGGAACATCAAAGAATGGTTGGAGATTTGTCTCTCTTCTATAGATACTTTCACGGAAAGTGTTCAAGTGCATTGGTGCATTCGATTCCATCAAAAGCGGTACATATTAGAAATACGCGACGGACTGTGGCTGCTCATCGTTTTTAGGTCCAACTCAGTACCCTTCGAACTTCACTGTTTAAGAAATCCTTCATTTGGAGTACTGCGTTTATGTGGAATAAACTCCCAGAGAACGTTTTTATGAATGCATTTAATCTCCGCAGTATGTCGACGAATATAGATTTAGGCCGCATATGCTGAACATGCCGGTAGCAAATGCATAAGGTTTTTACGCGTCTTGGGTAATTAATATACTTCAAGTGTGGTATCCTTGGACGCTGAGGGAAAAGAGTAACCCTACCTTAAGGTCCACTATAACAATCTGAATGCCTGGGACATTCGAACCTTAGAGATCAGAACATTCCGATCTCACTCTACTCTTTGGAAGTATTGAAATGGGCTATTAGGCTAAAAGATTCCAAAACGTGGAAATTATGAACCATTGTAGAAGCTCACAAGCAAGAGATGGTAGGGATGGTGGATAGTTCGTTGTACGCATTAAATCGACCGCTATATGGAACGATGATTCGAGCTGACGATCAACTTACACTGGGCATCACCTACCCCGTGTTAGAAATTGCAAGTATGATTGTTGTTCGTAAGAGGACGACAGCTGTTTAACAAAAAAAATATTTTTTAAAATATAAAAAAAAAGCTATAGAAGCTATGTACAACCTGCAGATTATCCGGAAACCCAAGAACAAACTGTAGATTACCAACAGCAGGAAAAATGTAGCTTCTCAGTTTGGAAGTCTACACACTGAATGTGGTATAGGGTCCATGAAATTTTAGGGGTTTGAGCCCAACTGTCCAATTTTTTATTATTGAAATAACTACTAGTAAGGACAATTTTTACACCTTTTCAATTGAACCAAATAATTTTCTAGCACAAGTAATGTTATGGAAATATATTCACAGTTCATATTAAGGGAAAACAATTTATATCTGAAATATATTACAGAAGACTTTTGTCACTTACTCGAAAAGTTTACTATTATCTCCTTAATCCAGTGAAGTATTCCATATATCTAAAGAGCATTTTGTGAATTTGTTACTACTACGTTTCAACCAACTATCGATCAGTTTTAGCGAAAGTGTGAATTTTACTGGGATAAATTTACAAGTTTCAGCATATCTAAAGAAAGACCCAAAAATTCACGTGCAGAACGCACATTAGGATAAGTTTAATCAATAACATGCTTTCATGATACCTACAAAACATGCAATTAGATGTGGTGGCAAAACTAAGAGAAAACAAGTTATAATTGTTGTTAGGCACTAATGGCGTTAGAAGTTGATTGAAGGAACAAAACTCCACTAATTAGGATTAATTGAGCAAAGCAATGGTTGAAAATCTGCAACACCAAAATTGATTACTTTGATGTTCATGTGGTGTCAATATTTCGGTGTTGTATTTTTTCTTACTGTTGATTTTTTCGCATCAGACGAAGCCTGTGCTAAGAATTAGAATTAAATGAAGATCAGTAATAAGTGTAAATGTATTCCGCATCCTGGAAACAAATAACAAGAATCATAATTATAACAACAGATAAACTATCGATATTCGGTTTGGATGCTTACCTGTGAACCAGACAAAGAATGCTCTACGCTAGAGATGGCAGACATCTGCTTCAAATATTCTTTGTCGTCAAAAATTTTCTTATCGCCGCCACCTGGTTTATACTTCACGTTGTCTAAAGAACCGACTTTGCTCGTAACTTTCAAATCGATCTTCTTTGTTTCAATCTGAAAGCAGAATGTACCTAATTGAGTTACATCGAATAATGTGAAAACATCATGGGGAAAACGGGAAAAACAAGTAAATCAAAGGGAAGTGAGTAACTGAAAATATCAATACAAAAAGTATAGATATAACATAATAATTGATGAATTGAAAGGGTTATATTTCTAGGAGATCAAACTTATTCTCTGACATTGAAAATCGTTATCCAGATTGGTATTGAAGAGCCCTAAGGCAAGTGTCTTACGGCGAAACATCGATGTCTACCAGTGAGGATGACATTGTTCCATGTGAGTGCAATTTGCTTTGCTCAATTTGTTACCATTCATTTAAAGTAGAATTCCTGTGAATGATATCTGATTTTATTCCATAACGAATGTTTGGAATGTGAACTGAGTAGAGAAAAGTATCTTCTGTATAATTCAGTGTTCATATATGAAAGTATTTGTTTCGAAAGAATTTTTTTTCTTTCATGTAATTCAATGTTTATATGAAAGTAGCTGTTTCGGGAGGGCTTTCTTCCAGTTTGTGTCTGAAAGTTGCTTCTTTGCATGATCTACACATCCATGTCTCTACTTATTTTTAAATTGATTACTTCCTTCCTTTCTTTGGAAGATTCCCACATATTTTTGTATCAAGATGGAGTAGTAGAAAGCCAAAAACTTTCTTTCCCGAAAACATAAAAATTGATTACTTCCTTTCTTTCTTTGGAAGATTCCCATATATTTTTGTATCAAGTAGTAGAAAGCCAAAAACTTTCTTTCCCAAAAACATAATAATTGATATATAAGTACCTCACACTTTTCATGAAAGTTGATTCGTTTGTGATATATTTTTAAACATCATGTGGTATATAGTCAGATGAATCTCTCGATACTTCATCTATGTAAATCAAAATTCAAAATAAAAACGGTATCGCCCGCCTCAATATCACACTGTGATAGTGTAACTTCACATTTTGAAAACTGCAATTCTTAATAGAGAAAATATATACCTGAGCCGCTATTCTTGAGTTTCTGGGAATGGAAATATTAATACTTTATTCTGAAATCAATTTTCACAAACTGTGAAAATTGATAACAGTCATTAATTCTACTGCGCTGGTGTGAGATAAATTGAAGCTTGCGAATAGAAAAGGAAATTATATCGCCCCGAGCAGACCGATAAATCAGTACGTAATTTAGGATACCAAAAGTTGTTTATTCAATACATTTTTAATCATACCCCAAATCATGTTTTTGCTGCTGTTCTAATTTGTAAGTTTTATCTTCATTTGTTTTTGCTTCACAATTTTTTACTTGAACTGTTTATGGAGGGGTAACAAAATACACAAAAAAATGACCTGTGCTACTTTGCACTGAAACCTACTACAAACCTACTATATTATCTGTTTAAAATCTGTTTTTCCGTTACGAACGACAACTCTCTGAAGTTGATAAACTTGTGCGAGCAATACAAAATTCGTTAATGAATTTTCCAAATAAGCATTCATCAACCCAATGAAACAATTATTGCAAATGAAAAATTGTAAACTTGATACGATTGTAATTTTTTTAAGGACGAAACACAAGCACTACAGGAAAATCTTTAACGCTCTCTAAAAGCGGTGCCTGTGCGAAAGTAGCGATTAACGTTGGATTTGAATCGCTGGAGATTAAATTCATTTAGAAAAACATTCTCAGGAAGTTTATTTCACATAAACACCGTTCTCCAAATGGAAGAGTCCCTAAACAGTGGAGTTCGAGGTGTACTGAGTTGAACTTCCAAAAGGATTAGCAGTCAGAGTCTGTCGCGTATTTCTGATATGTACCGTTCTTGGTGGAATCAAATGTGCCAAGTCATTTGAACACCTCCCGTAAAAGTATCTATAAAAATATCTCCAATCAGGCGAATGACTATTTTCTGAATGCAATCCAGCAGCTTCAGGCCATGCTTAAGAGCCAACACTACCTTGATAAAACTGGAATCGGTTTTAAGCCTTCAGTTTTTCTTGAATTTTTTTTGTTTTTTTTGAATGATTCTACATATATTTGTAAATTCAGAAACTTCAGTGATTTTTTGTAATGATGAGTTTTGAAGAAAAAGTTATATGACATGATAAATTGGAAAAATCAGGAAGTTCCCGAATAGGACCACCGAATCCATACAAAAAATATGTCTTCTATGAAATCATTAGTTTTTGCAAAAAACCGATTCTACGATCGCGAAATTGATGACTGATTGGCGCTGCCACCTACATAGTACTTTAACTATTGATCACAACTTGCTACATTGTAGAATCGTCATACCGCAATCATCGTGAAGATACGACACGATTGGTTATTGCTATCCTTTCCTCCTACGCCAGTAAGGGAATTCCCTCCATTCTCCGTATTTAGTAGATTAGGTTTTGATGTTACTTGGGAGACATGATTTAGGTAGGTGAATTGTGAATAAATACCATAAACGTACCTACAAACAATTATTCTGGTGCATCCCTTGGAAACTGAATTGTTGAGTTCTTGTTTTGAGAGTATTATAAGTGAGACTTGTTGAAAGAGCAATGGGTCGAATAAGTGAAAGAGAACGTACTGCCAAACATGAAAAATGTTTATTTTTTCGAAGAAAATCTCGACGGCAAGCAAGACGAAGGTATGTTTATATTTCATATTCTACTTCAGATTATAATGCAAAGGCAAAACGATATGACATTGAATACTTTTCTTTACATAAGAGAAGGCTAAGTTATGTTATGGGCGGAGATCCATACATGAGAACAATACTCCAAAGGAGATCTGATCTGAGCTTTATAAATGACTATGCCACCCCCAACAAACTTATCGAAGAAGAAGGCGGAATTGTCTGTCCTGACATTATTATATCCGGTTCGGAAACATTTATCTTTTTTGGAGAAAACCGTTGCCTGAGTTTTCGTGGCATTGAATTGAAACTGGTTACATTCTCCTCAATTCTAATTCACTTCTAGATCCTCATTAAGATATGCAACCTCTTGCTGCCGGTGTAGATGTGCATACGCAACCGATGTCGATGACGAGACAAGTGTGCTGTCATCACCAAAGCAATATATTGGATTCTTGTTTTTTTTTCCAATAAGTCGTTGATATACAATAAAAAGAAGATTGGAGACAATATGGATCTCTGGAGAACACCAGCTTTGACTGTAAAAATATTCGACGGCCACTTGCAGGGAACGTTCTTTCAGGAAGCTGAATAAGCTATACACATAAATGATCGGACAAGACATATCATCGAAGTTTGGCTAGCAAAACCTCATGTCACACACGGTCAGACCTTAGAAATATCAAGCGCTACAGCTCTTGAGTCTCCATGTTTCTCGATTGCGTTACTCTAAATATGGGTGAAATACGATAGAAGGTTGCCTGTTGATCTTTGTTTACGAAAGCCATATTGATGATCGCTCAAGATGTTGAAGCCTTCCAAATATTTGAGGATATGGTGGTTTACGACTTTCTTTATGATTTCTGATATCACTGATAGCATAGTGACTGGTCTATAGTTATTTAGAAGATTTTTCTTGTCATTTTTGGGAATAGGCTAAACGCGAGCAATTTTCCAAAAAATAAGGAAAAACACCTTCCTTCTAAGACAGCTTTATATAGCTTTCTCAAGCGAGAATGTTCATCATCATTATTTTCGCCATTGCATGGCGAAAGATAGATCACGGTTTTTTCAACACCCCTATAATGAAAATCTTACAGCAAATAGATCGGTAAGTGTTAAATCAGTTTTTGAAATTTTGAATGATGATTATTTAATGTTATACATATATGTCAACAAACAGTGTAACTGAAAACCCATGTTTTACATCGATTAGCTAGTCTCGCCAATTTATGGCTTATTTTATACATTCTTACTTTGAAACTTTTTTCAATAGTGAATCTANAACAAACAGTGTAACTGAAAACCCATGTTTTACATCGATTAGCTAGTCTCGCCAATTTATGGCTTATTTTATACATTCTTACTTTGAAACTTTTTTCAATAGTGAATCTATCGGGTGCACATTGTAATGTCCAATGGACAAAAACCTGAATTTTTATTTTCTCGTATTTAATTTTAAATCAGCTAGTTACCTTGAGAAACTACTTGAGGAAGTAGAATCGTATAAAACCAATAAATATTATTTTTATTTTGATCAACAAACACATCAGAAGTATTGTAAACAAGGCAAAGTCTTCAAAACCTGTTTCATCATATCAACCATCAGTTCAAAACTCTCTTGTTGAAGATACAACGGTGTTTTTATTGAGTGACCCGAAGGAAAAATATTCTCAAAACTATTCCTTTTTATCTGATATAATTTGATTATGGGTAAGTGCTCTCTTATTATTTGAACTGTATTATTTTTCATTGGTTTTTGATATTTTTTTAAGTTCAAAATTTTGACGGAATATAGCAAAAAAACTTCCCAAAACATCTTCCTATGTTTTTAGATCATAAAGTTTATCTCAATGTACAGAGGGCAATTCAATTTGCCAAAATTTGCCGATTCCAATGATTTTTATTTTTTATATCAGATCCATCAAATTATACAAATTGTTTTTATTTCAAATTCGGGAATATGTGGATAAATCCGAGAAAACAGAATCAATCTTTGGGCAAATGCTGAGTCAATTTGATCTGATTCTATAAGAATTAGAATTTATATTATTATTTATGATTTTGTTATTACTAATATTATCAATTCCTATATTATTTCAAATATTATTACAATAAATATCAATACGGCTGTATAGTATATATTATTATATTATTGTTTACTTGTTTTGAGTTGAAATCAATGAATGAAAATGTTCATTTGAAAATAATTAATGGTCAATGATTTTTGTCCATTATCCCCACTACTGGGTTACACTTTGGGGTGTAACGATGAAGCGTACAACATTGGCTCTGTTTTGAATCTGAATACTGAAGATTTTTCAAAACGTGAATTGAGAAGAACAAAACATATTGTAGAACTTAATTGACTATCTTCAAAATGTGTTTGGTGCAATTGTCTACATTTACGTGAGTTTCAGTTATCAAATATACTCGGTGAAAAGTGATGTGACCGAATATAACATAAATACTGGTGGTAGGGGTGTAATTACACTCCATTACAATACTCACTTCAATGATATTAGTAGTATTGCATTTTTCATTACCAATATCTTTATCCTCCACAATATCTTCAGGCTAACGGTTGTAGAATTGTAAAAATGAGATAGTCAGCAATATAAGTAACACCTCTGATATTATGAGAACAGCAAGGAAAATCAATTATCTTAAGTATTTGAATCACAGATAATAACCTATGATATATTTCTCTAACTGTTCCCATTTTTCCAAAGGTCCCTTTCATCATAACTCACCTTAATATCTCCCCCTCCTGGAACGTGTTTGATATTGTCTTTGGACCCTACTTTTGGCTTCGCTTTCCCCTTGAAATCTAGTTTCACAGTTTCGATTTTTTTGTCTCCGCCTTTCGGTTTATGAGTTGTGTTTTCCAACGAGCCTATTTTCGATTTTGCGCTCCATTGCAATTTTTGCTGTACTATCTATGTGCAAAAAGTTGGTACTCATCAATATGAAGTGCAGATGAAGGCGCTTGTTCAATGTCCACCAAAAAGAAAATATCACTTCACCAGTTTTCAATGATGAACTCTATTCCAAATATATCCAAGAGAAACATGTTTTATTTTCAAGTATACGGAATGAAAGTTCCTTATTGTAAATTATAGATTTGTGTTCATCTTCAGTAATTTAGAAACTTCAGAAATATTCCTGAAAAATGTTTCATGACTCATGGAAAAATACTTTTCACTCACTGGTGATGCTAACTTTATGATGGACTTTCTAGTGCCTTTGCTTCAACTTTCCTTGTACCCACGGAAATTGGAAGCATACTAGAAATAGAAATATTATCTCACCTTCTTTTCTCCACCTTTCGGGGTATATTTTTCATTCTTAGCTTCTATCCTGGGCGCAGCAGACTTGAAGTCCAACTTCTTACTTTCGATTTTGACTTTCCCTCCTCCAGGTTTATAACTAGCGTTTTCCAGAGAACCGATTTTAGATTTCACTACCTTCAGATTTGGTGAAGGAGCCGACCCCACTTGAATTTTGTTCATTGAAATTTCTGAAAAATGAATTTTCTATTAATGCATTTGGTATTAGTCACACATATTTAGATTTAGAATAACAATGAACAATGAAAATTCAAAATTTTTGATTTCAAACGCCCATGCCGTTCGAATAGTCATACAGGGTGCCCCATCAAAAACGTATCGCAAGGAATTATAGGTCTTCCTGAATGGCACAACTTTTCAAGTAAAAACGAAGCATTTTTTTTAAATGAGGGTGTCATCCCGCAATATTTTTCAAATGGAAAGAGGGTCAAGTGATACCTCATTAAAAGAGATTTTCGTTTCCTATACCCCTATGTTTGATTTTGAAACATCGATACATGCTTTTAGAAAATAAAGGAGCTTCAAACCGTCAACAGAACGTTTGGCGGAAAAATCTATTCAATTTTAATTCATATACTGTATTAGTCAAGTGAATTCCATCAAAAGAACTTATGATATACTGTTTGGAACCTTTGGTGTAGTAGGTAATGAATATTACTGGAGTTTTTTCCCAACACCAAATCGTTATTTTTACACCTCGACACGTGTTTCGATCACCAAGTGATCTAGTTTCAAAATTGAAATATATTTTTTAATTTGGTATCACTTTTTTCCATTCATTTTACATTCGAAACATTTTTATGGAATTGAAATATATATTATTCATAAGAAACGTAATATATGAAAGACTATTGATGTAAAAGTTCACTTAGATGAAACATTGCCATACTTAACTGTGTACTTCGAAGTTTCATATCAATACTCTTTCGTTTATTACGTTGTGTAGCGTCCTATGGTCCTGAATATATTTATTCCTTGAATTGAAGAATATCTTACCTAATTAAGTGACGTGTGTTTGTACTCAGCTTCGAACTTCTACTAGCATAATTTTGGAACTAGTGAACCTCTTTCTCTCAACCAGCAGCAGTGTTTGTAACTATCTAAAATACTCTAAAAATATTGCCTTACAGTGTTTGGTATACTTACGTGATAAGCTCTTGACNGTAACTATCTAAAATACTCTAAAAATATTGCCTGACAGTGTTTGGTATACTTACGTGATAAGCTCTTGACTATTAGAGTCAGGGTGTACTGTGATAACAGTGCATAGAGTGATTGGTAAATGTGAATAAAGCCACTACAATAAAATGCAAATTTTTATTATAATAATCAAACTTAGTATTAACTCTGATATGATCTGAAAAACAATAGATAGTATAAAGATACCATTGAGAACTCAGTTTGTTAGGTTCCTCTATCATTAAAAAATACAAGTGATGAAAAGTGAAATAGTGATAACGATATAGATATTATTATCGCCCAATAAGAAATATTCACTGGCAACTACTGCCTGAGTGAACAGAAAACTTATCCTTTAAGAAACTTCCACAAAAAGTGATTACATAAAGAGTTCAGAGATACTAAGAAATGGAAACAGTTCGTATCCTAATGAAATATATATTTCTAATGAAATATATATTTTAACAACGCCTTCCTTGCAGCAAACTTCATATATGCATGCTTCCTATCCAAAATGTATTCGACTGAAGACAAAAACAAGAATGCCTTTATCATAAGTTTCAACAATTTCATCATTATAAGTTTGNACAAAAAAATGGATGAGAGAATCTTCCAAAGAAAAGAAGAAAGTACTCAATTTTGAAATAAGCAACTCTATACATGGATGTGTAGATCATGCAAAGAAGTAACTTTCAGACACAAACTGAAAAAAAGCCCTCCTGAAACAGCTACTTTCAAATAGGTGAATGAATATCATTACGATGTCATCGACGACATAAGTAGATGAATCTTATTCCGTGACATACAAATCGTAATTCATGAATGAATTGTGTGTATTTTCTATGTTATCCAATTTGGTACTGAAGAGCCCTAAGGCAAGTGTCTTAAGGCGAAACATCGATGTCTACCAGTGAGGATGACAGTCTTCCATGTAAGTGCAATTTTTTAACATTCATTTAGTGTAGAACTCCTGTGAATGGATAACTGATTTTATTTCATAACGAATGTTTCGAATACAAACTGAGTAGAGAATAATGTCTTATGTATAATTCAGTGTTCATATAAAAGTATTTGTTTCGAAAAAAGTTTTTTTCATGTGATTCAATGTTTATATGAAAGTAGCTGTTTCAGGAGGGTTTTTATTCCAGTTTGTGTCTGAAAGTTACTTCTTTGCATGATCTACACATCCACGTATACAGTTATTTATTTCAAAATTGATTACTTTGTTTCTTTCTTTGGAAGATTCCCACATGAAGTAGTAGAAATTCAAAAACTTTCTTTCCCAGGTACTTAATATTCATGTAATAAACAAAGTATATACAAAGTAAGTCACGAGTCAGGACATGATTAGGCACGTGGTCTCGTAAAATGTCTTCGTCGCTTGTATGAAATTCAACGCGCCGAACATGACCGATCACAGCGCGAGAATTCCCGAATGCAGTTTCGGTCGTAGTTTCGGCAGGTTTGCCGCCGAAACCGAAACTGAACCAAAACCCGTTTTTTTGCCGAAACTCGACCGAAATCGAAACCGAACTTTCGGTCGGTTGGTCACTACTCACAGGGGTCGTTACGGAACGGGGTTCGTAAGAAAACAGTAGTGCTGTTTTCTTTTTTTGTTAGTGGTTCGTTTTTTTGTTGGTCGTTTTGATAACATATTGGGTATGCGGAATATATGGGATTATTGAATACTATCGAAAGGAAGTACTAGATAGCACGGTAAAACAAGAACGCTACGAGAACCATAAGTTTAGATTTATTTATTCTATTAACGAGGAAAAGTGCATTCGCCTTCTTTGAAGATCAGGAGGGTTTATATTTAATTTTCAGATTCTTCTAGTTTATTTTTAATTTCTCGGCGTGATCAGTAGTTGGTGGAGTTACAAAAGTACGGTAAGGCAGGGATTGGGTGGGTTATTATTCTAATTTTAAAGCAACTAAACATTGAAGACTATGAATCGTTATTACTCGAATAGCTGTTCAGGGGAATAATTTTAGTTATTTTATGTATTCGGATATTTTGTGCTTCATATATTGGTTTCCTATAATTTTAGTATTCTATCTCTTTTCTTTGTTTTTGTTTTAATTTATCTTGAATCTTGGTTTTGAATTTTTCTTCAATTTGAGAATAATAGGTACCTTCCTTTCAAAGTGAGAAAACGAAAGTAGTAAAGTCATCTGACTAATTGTGGTTGGTATCATGAGGGTTTCTTCTCGGAGGATTCTCCAGTTGAAGATTTCTCTGCGATTTATCTCTTATTCTGTACCAACACCTTGCAGTTTGTTTTGACCAAAATTATCATTATTATTGATATAATAGAGGTTACACCGGTCGGGCCCTTACCTCTGAGATCCGATACTACGGAGGCCAGCATCAATGATCAATAACCACCCCCACACTGTGGGATGACTGATTATTGAGTGCGAGATACCCTGAGTAGACGCAATGAGCCAAGAATGATGGTCTTCTGCATTTGTCCGGCCAAGACTTCTGCCTTGATGCGACAAGTAGTTTTGATCATGAGATTAGATAGTAGAGAGGGCATCATTCCAACAAGCACCCTAAATAATCAAGAAAAATTAAGAGAATGGTCTGATTTCCGACTTCAGCCCACTCGACCTGAGGAAAGCGAAAGTCATCTGCTTTGATGAGCGGAAGTCTTCAGTGTTTTTGAAGAAGATCCGATGCATCGGCTTAATCCTTGTGTGGCAGTGGGAATGAGGTTATATTTGCAGCTTTAGTGTGAGCCTTTCGCTGAATGGCTTTCAACTCGTTGACAGAGTTGTGATCACTTTGTTCAGTATCGAAAACTTACCCAAGTTCATCGTCTGCTTGGGCAGCTGCCTCATAACGAAATGTTCCAATTTCCGCTCTTTTATGGTCGCGGACCATGCAGAGAAGGAAATCCTTACTCCTAATGACTTTACAGGCTCCATCCAGTTATATCGAGAAAAGTATAACCGTGGAACGGATGCATCATTTCTAGGGGTCTTTACGTTGAGTTGATTGAAACGGCAAGCATATTCGTAGCAGAAACTTTGTTATTCGATACTATTATTTTTTCCTTAAAAGGTTATGTCGGTCGGACCTTATCCCTGAAGCTCGCGACACATTCGGCGGGCGGCATCACTGAAACAAACTATTTACACACTTTTTCCACACCGCAATAAAATGCTGTCTCCCGAGGCGCGTTTTCCACACCATCTTTTGATGATTATGGGGTGGGAAAAGTGTTTAATAGATTCATTTCACACCAGACGTTCCAATTCTACCTATTAAACCAAAAATCACTTCCTATACCGTAAGGTAAGTGATCATCGTGTTCAAGAATCTGTACCCAGAGCCAAGAATGGCACCTTCTGCATTTGTTCTGCCAACATTTCTGCGTTTCTATGTAAAACCTGAATTACTTTGATATTCGAGAGTAGAGAGGACATTATGTCATCGAGGACTACAATAATCAGAACAACCATTTCAACAGAGTGGTCTGGATATAGTCTGCGGAGTTAAAAAAAATCGATATTCTATCCGTTTCTCTTCCTCATTCCGGAGAATATTCGCCTCACCCTCACACCAATATGTCTTGGCACAATAATGTCGCTGGAATTACTAAGGCTGCTTCTCAAAAGGCTGGAACACTGTTCCGAATCAGAAAACTGTACACACCCCAGCAACTTTTGATGCTTTATAAAGCTCAGATCAGACCTTCTTTGGAGTATGGTTCTCATGTATGGTGCTCCTCCCCTAAGCATACCCTGAAGCTGCTGAATTCCATCCAGAAAGAACGTCACTTGCAACCTTGACAGTCTGGAACATCAAAGAATGGTT